TCCGTGCCATGTGGGGGCTATCCGTGCCGTGCGGGGGCTGTCCGTGCGGGGGCTGTCCGTGCGGGGGCTGTCCGTGCCGTGTGGGGGCAGTCCGTGCCGTGTGGGGGCTATCCATGCCGTGTGGGGGCAGTCCGTGCCATGTTGGGGCTATCCGTGCCGTGCCGGGGCTGTCCGTGCGGGGGCTGTCCGTGCCGTGTGGGGGCAGTCCGTGCCGTGCGGGGGCTGTCCGTGCCGTGTGGGGGCAGTCCGTGCCGTGTGGGGGCTATCCGTGCCGTGTGGGGGCTGTCCGTGCCGTGCGGGGGCTGTCCATGCCGTGCAGGGGCTGTCCATGCCGTGTGGGGGCTGTCCATACCGTGTGGGGGCTGTCCGTGCCGTGTGGGGGCTGTCCGTGCCGTGTGGGGGCAGTCCGTGCTGTGTGGGGGCTATCCGTGCCGTGTGGGGGCAGTCCGTGCCGTGTGGGGGCTATCCGTGCCGTGCGGGGGCTGTCCGTGCGGGGGCTGTCCGTGCCGTGTGGGGGCAGTCCGTGCCGTGTGGGGGCTATCCATGCCGTGTGGGGGCAGTCCGTGCCATGTGGGGGCTATCCGTGCCGTGTGGGGGCTGTCCGTGCCATGCGGGGGCTGTCCATGCCGTGCAAGGGCTGTCCATGCCGTGTGGGGGCTGTCCATACCGTGTGGGGGCTGTCTGTGCCATGTGGGGGCTATCCGTGCCGTGTGGGGGCAGTCCGTGCCGTGTGGGGGCTATCCGTGCCGTGTGGGGGCAGTCCGTGCCGTGTGGGGGCTATCCGTGCCGTGATGGGGCTGTCCGTGTGGGGGCTGTCTGTGCCGTGTGGGGGCAGTCCGTGCCGTGTGGGGGCTATCCATGCCGTGTGGGGGCAGTCCGTGCCATGTGGGGGCTATCCGTGCCGTGCGGGGGCTGTCCGTGCGGGGGCTGTCCGTGCCGTGTGGGGGCAGTCCGTGCCGTGTGGGGGCTATCCATGCCGTGTGGGGGCAGTCCGTGCCATGTGGGGGCTATCCGTGCCGTGTGGGGGCTGTCCGTGCCATGCGGGGGCTGTCCATGCCTTGCAGGGGCTGTCCATGCCGTGTGGGGGCTGTCCATACCGTGTGGGGGCTGTCCGTGCCATGTGGGGGCTATCCGTGCCGTGTGGGGGCAGTCCGTGCCGTGTGGGGGCTATCCGTGCCGTGTGGGGGCAGTCCGTGCCATGTGGGGGCTATCCGTGCCGTGCGGGGGCTGTCCGTGCGGGGGCTGTCCGTGCGGGGGCTGTCCGTGCCGTGTGGGGGCAGTCCGTGCCGTGTGGGGGCTATCCATGCCGTGTGGGGGCAGTCCGTGCCATGTTGGGGCTATCCGTGCCGTGCCGGGGCTGTCCGTGCGGGGGCTGTCCGTGCCGTGTGGGGGCAGTCCGTGCCGTGTGGGGGCTATCTGTGCCGTGTGGGGGCTGTTCGTGCCGTGCAGGGGCTGTCCGTGCCATGTGGGGGCTATCTGTGCCGTGTGGGGGCTGTTCGTGCCGTGCGGGGGCTGTCCATGCCGTGCAGGGGCTGTCCATGCCGTGTGGGGGCTGTCCATACCGTGTGGGGGCTGTCCGTGCCGTGTGGGGGCTGTCCATGCCGTGTGGGGGCAGTCCGTGCCGTGTGGGGGCTATCTGTGCCGTGTGGGGGCTGTTCGTGCCGTGCAGGGGCTGTCCATGCCGTGCAGGGGCAGTCCGTGCCGTGTGGGGGCTGTCCATACCGTGTGGGGGCAGTCCGTGCCGTGTGGGGGCTATCCGTGCCGTGTGGGGGCTGTCCGTGCCGTGTGGGGGCTATCCGTGCCGTGTGGGGGCAGTCCGTGCCGTGTGGGGGCTATCCGTGCCGTGCGGGGGCTGTCCGTGCCATGTGGGGGCTATCCGTGCCGTGTGGGGGCAGTCCATGCCGTGTGGGGGCTATCCGTGCCGCGTGGGGGCAGTCCGTGCCGTGTGGGGGCTATCCGTGCCGTGATGGGGCTGTCCGTGCGGGGGCTGTCCGTGCCGTGTGGGGGCAGTCCGTGCCGTGTGGGGGCTATCCATGCCGTGTGGGGGCAGTCCGTGCCATGTTGGGGCTATCCGTGCCATTCCGGGGCTGTCCGTGCGGGGGCTGTCCGTGCCGTGTGGGGGCAGTCCATGCCGTGTGGGGGCTATCCATGCCGTGTGGGGGCAGTCCGTGCCATGTGGGGGCTATCCGTGCCGTGTGGGGGCAGTCCGTGCCGTGTGGGGGCTGTCCATGCCGTGCAGGGGCTGTCCATGCCGTGTGGGGGCTGTCCATACCGTGTGGGGGCTGTCCGTGCCATGTGGGGGCTATCCGTGCCGTGTGGGGGCAGTCCGTGCCGTGTGGGGGCTATCCGTGCCGTGTGGGGGCAGTCCGTGCCGTGTGGGGGCTATCCGTGCCGTGCGGGGGCTGTCCGTGCGGGGGCTGTCCGTGCGGGGGCTGTCCGTGCCGTGTGGGGGCAGTCCGTGCCGTGTGGGGGCTATCCATGCCGTGTGGGGGCAGTCCGTGCCATGTTGGGGCTATCCGTGCCATGCCGGGGCTGTCCGTGCGGGGGCTGTCCGTGCCGTGTGGGGGCAGTCCGTGCCGTGTGGGGGCTATCTGTGCCGTGTGGGGGCTTTTCGTGCCGTGCGGGGGCTGTCCATGCCGTGCAGGGGCTGTCCATGCCGTGCAGGGGCTGTCCATGCCGTGTGGGGGCTGTCCATACCGTGTGGGGGCAGTCCGTGCTGTGTGGGGGCTATCCGTGCCATGTGGGGGCAGTCCGTGCTGTGTGGGGGCTATCCGTGCCGTGTGGGGGCAGTCCGTGCTGTGTGGGGGCTATCCGTGCCGTGTGGGGGCTGTCCGTGCGGGGGCTGTCCGTGCCGTGTGGGGGCAGTCCATGCCATGTTGGGGCTATCCATGCCGTGTGGGGGCAGTCCGTGCCATGTGGGGGCAGTCCGTGCCATGTGGGGGCTATCCGTGCCGTGCGGGGGCTGTCCGTGCGGGGGCTGTCCGTGCCGTGTGGGGGCAGTCCGTGCCGTGTGGGGGCTATCCATGCCGTGTGGGGGCTGTCCGTGCCATGTGGGGGCTATCCGTGCCGTGCGGGGGCTGTCCGTGCCATGTGGGGGCTATCCGTGCCGTGTGGGGGCAGTCCGTGCCGTGTGGGGGCCATCCGTGCCGTGTGGGGGCAGTCCGTGCCATGTGGGGGCTATCCGTGCCGTGCGGGGGCTGTCCATGCCGTGCAGGGGCTGTCCGTGCCGTGTGGGGGCAGTCCGTGCCGTGTGGGGGCTATCCATGCCGTGTGGGGGCAGTCCGTGCCATGTGGGGGCTATCCGTGCCGTGCGGGGGCTGTCCGTGCGGGGGCTGTCCGTGCCGTGTGGGGGCAGTCCGTGCCGTGTGGGGGCTATCCATGCCGTGTGGGGGCTGTCCGTGCCATGTGGGGGCTATCCGTGCCGTGCGGGGGCTGTCCGTGCGGGGGCTGTCCGTGCCGTGTGGGGGCAGTCCATGCCGTGTGGGGGCTATCTGTGCCGTGTGGGGGCAGTCCGTGCCATGTGGGGGCTATCCGTGCCGTGCGGGGGCTGTCCGTGCGGGGGCTGTCCGTGCCGTGTGGGGGCAGTTCGTGCCGTGTGGGGGCTATCCATGCCGTGTGGGGGCAGTCCGTGCCGTGTGGGGGCTATCCATGCCGTGTGGGGGCAGTCCGTGCCATGTGGGGGCTATCCGTGCCGTGTGGGGGCTGTCCGTGCCATGCGGGGGCTGTCCATGCCGTGCAGGGGCTGTCCATGCCGTGTGGGGGCTGTCCGTGCCATGTGGGGGCTATCCGTGCCGTGTGGGGGCAGTCCGTGCCGTGTGGGGGCTATCCGTGCCATGTGGGGGCTGTCCGTGCTATGCAGGGGCTGTCCATGCCGTGCAGGGGCTGTCCATGCCGTTAGGGGGCTGTCCATACAGTGTGGGGGCTGTCCGTGCCATGTGGGGGCTATCCGTGCCGTGTGGGGGCAGTCCGTGCCGTGTGGGGGCTGTCCGTGCCATGCGGGGGCTGTCCATGCCGTGCAGGGGCTGTCCATGCCGTGTGGGGGCTGTCCATACCGTGTGGGGGCTGTCCGTGCCATGTGGGGGCTATCCGTGCCGTGTGGGGGCAGTCCGTGCCGTGTGGGGGCTATCCGTGCCGTGTGGGGGCAGTCCGTGCCGTGTGGGGGCTATCCGTGCCGTGCGGGGGCTGTCCGTGCGGGGGCTGTCCGTGCGGGGGCTGTCCGTGCCGTGTGGGGGCAGTCCGTGCCGTGTGGGGGCTATCCGTGCCGTGTGGGGGCAGTCCGTGCCATGTGGGGGCTATCCGTGCCGTGCGGGGGCTGTCCGTGTGGGGGCAGTTCGTGCCGTGTGGGGGCTATCCATGCCGTGTGGGGGCAGTCCGTGCCGTGTGGGGGCTATCCATGCCGTGTGGGGGCAGTCCGTGCCATGTGGGGGCTATCCGTGCCGTGTGGGGGCTGTCCGTGCCATGCGGGGGCTGTCCATGCCGTGCAGGGGCTGTCCATGCCGTGTGGGGGCTGTCCGTGCCATGTGGGGGCTATCCGTGCCGTGTGGGGGCAGTCCGTGCCGTGTGGGGGCTATCCGTGCCATGTGGGGGCTGTCCGTGCTATGCAGGGGCTGTCCATGCCGTGCAGGGGCTGTCCATGCCGTTAGGGGGCTGTCCATACAGTGTGGGGGCTGTCCGTGCCATGTGGGGGCTATCCGTGCCGTGTGGGGGCTATCCGTGCCGTGTGGGGGCAGTCCGTGCCGTGTGGGGGCTATCCGTGCCATGCGGGGGCTTTCCGTGCGGGGGCTGTCCATGCCGTGTGGGGGCTGTCCATGCCATGTTGGGGCTGTCCGCCGCTGGGTGGGGGCTATCGGCACCTTGTTGTTGAGGTGCCACCCCCACTGCAACCAGTGGCACTGAGGTAGCGGGTATCATAGGGTGCTAACCGACACAGCTGGTGGTGGCAATGGTGGCTGCAGGGCAGCTGACACCCCAAAAAAGTGTTCATCTCATCTTTCTCAGCTGCTTGCATCTGCCTACAGACATACCTGCTAATGATGAATACAGAGGCGCCCTGATCCACACCCAGGTCACATGGGTCCCCCCACTTTAGCCCAAACTGTGCAGTCCAGTCACAAATGATGGTGTCACTCTGATCCTCCCTGCTGCTGCCGCCTCCAGTACCCCCTGACCTGGAGCCACCATCCCATCCCATGGAGCCGCCGCCTGCCCTGGATGTGTCCTGACAACCTGGGGCCGTCGTCCCCCACCCCGCCAGTGTCGTACCCCAACTCCGAGCAGCCGAGGTGCTTGTTCACCACTACCAACTCTTGCAGCAGCTTGCTGATGGCGAGCAGGCAGCCCAGCTGCACGTACAGGTGACCGCAGTGGAGTTGAAGGTGGAGGAGGAGGACACCATGCTGCCAGCAAGCCCACCTATTTGCAATGTTCTCCTCCTGGAGCCAGGGAGCATCAAGGAAGCTAAGTAGTACTGCAGGGCCGAGGAGGGCAAGGTGGGAGGGAAGAGGGTATGTCCGAAAAGGGAGGGACGAATCAGGGAGGCGAGAGGTAAAGTTGTTTGGGTGAAACAATGGACCCACGGGTTGGCCACCAGCTCCACACACACCAAGCCCACCACCGCCACCACCAACAAGTCCACAAACGTTATGAGGATTACATTAAATGGGGCGTGATGATGACTGGTTATGACTAGTTAATTTCAGTATGGAAGAGTGGGGCGCATGTGGTAGTAACGGGCTGGTACATCCCAATCTTGCTCACCATTAGCCCAGCTGACACCGGGCCCCCACCCCCTCCGCCATTACCCTCCGCCACACAAATCCCAAAGCCTCACCTCTAGCTCTGCTGCTCCCGAGCCTTGCATAAGTGCTGATGCTACCGGCAGTTGCAGCACCACACTCCCAGGGGCCACCCCTGCTGTGCCGTCCTGCACATCCTGGCAGAGGGGCAGGCTGGAGGTGCACAGGGAAGAGGGTGGCGTAGCAAGGATGGTGTTGACTGTAAGGGTGGGTGGAGGTCCAGAGATGGCGACCAGGTGACTGCACACCATTACGTTCAGGGAAGCCAAATCCTGTAGGGAGGGTCAAGGTTTTATGGACAGTAGTGTTACATGTGGATACATGCACATCTTTGCTTGAGGCAGGTGTAAGATGTACATTCCCTGTGTCCATCTGCCCCTCTGCATTACCCGAAACTGCTACCTGCACCCGCTGCCTGCCCCTTCCTCACCTCCAGCGACCCCACACACCCTGCAAAGACCGCAAGCTGCACACTGCCATCAATCACGGGTCCAGCTGCTGCCCACTGCTGCTGCTGATGGTTGAGGCAGTGAAGGGAACGGAGAGCACCAAGCGGTGCTGGTAGAGCAGGGTGCCATCTGCAGGGGAGCCTCCAACCCACGTCGTCTGTTCCTGTCCCATGCCAGCCAGCCAGCCAGCCAGCCAGACCTCTACTCATGCCACTCCCGGACCAGAGCTCGGTGTAGGGCCAGCCCCTGTGCGGCCTCTGTTAACACCATTAGGTTGGATACCGTGTTGTTAGAGGGATCCCGATCCTGATGCCACACACGCGCCGACCCTACCACATGACCCTGTGCATCCAGCTGCAATCCACCCCTAGCCAGCAGCTGGCCACCACTCTCCGCAGCGCAACACATCGCTGCCACCACGTTCCGCCTACACCCTGCCCTGAAGGCAGCACCGAGCGCACGTAGACGTGCGGATCTCATGTGCATGGAAAGGTCTCTGCCTGCACCATGTACCCTGTGCACTGATTCCGCACTATCCCATCGGCCAAGCATTTGTCCACACTCCTCATGGATCTCCTGAAGCTCCCCTGACCCTGGCAGGTGTACTGCAGCCAATGTTTCGGCCACACACGGCAGCCAACCCTCCAGTTCTGGGTTTGCCCCTGGGTACGTGGTGGTGGAGCTATACGACAATCAGCACGTGCAGAAGGGGCTCATCGAGGACACATTCCGGCTGAACTGGATGCGGATGGATTTGAGCACTCACACGAACCACTCAAAGCTGCCTCGCATCAAAGCGGATGTTCTGCATCCAGTTCAACCAGAACGTGTCCTCGTTGAGCCCATTCTGCACCTTCGTGTGCTGCGGTTCCCAGCGCAGGGCAACTACACTCATCCCTTCTGTTGACACTTCGGCCTACTCAAGCCCTGCTTGACATCCCTCCATTTTATTCATCGAACCCGGCTGTGCCCCCGGCCTGTCACACTCACCCCAAGCTGCTCTGCAGCACAGCCGGCTCCACTGGGACGGCGCTGTCTCCCGAGCTCCTGTTGGCCCGCAGCACCTGGAAGCCACTGCTGGAGGAGAAGGTGGAGCCCAGCTGGGAGGTCTGCCGCACCTGCACCGAGACTGGCAGCAAGGGGAGCAGCATGGTGGCATCTGCGGGTTAAGGGCGGGAAAGGTAGGGAGGTCCAAATAACCCAGAAAAGGAAAATCACTCAGGCGCAAGCCGGAGGAGCAGCAGGTGGCCGGTGTGCTACCCGCACGCACGTGGGTGGCGGCACGAGCCACCCCCGGAGAAGCACAGCACACGGTAGCAGCAGCGCACCACAGAGAGCAGCTATTACTGCTGGAGAGGCAGCAAGCCAGAAGACAGCACCGGAGCACTGGAGCACAGCAACGCTCAGCTCCTCTCGGCACCCTGCCTACCTGCTGCAGCAGCGATCACAGCCTGGCTCAGACCCACACGGACCATAATGGTCGCCCTGCTGCCTGGGGCCACCCGAGAGCCGCCGGGCAACCTGAGCTCCGCAATGCCAAACAACAGTAGAGAACAAGCATAGAAGCTGTGGGTTGCCACCTTGCCACTGTTCGACACATCAGTGATGGTGATCAGGTGGGCCGAGGCGGCGGTGTCGGGGGTGGCTGCTGTGGCGGGCTAGGTGGTCGGGCTGGTTGTGGAGTTGACTGCGTGATGGTGGCTAGATCGGCTGCAAGGAGCTAGGCGGGTTGGCGAGAACGGGATGGGCGGTCCAGGGGGTGCGCTCCAGCAGCACCTGCCATTGGTGGGGCCGCCTAGAGGGGAGGGGACGAGATGAGGGGGTGGGTGTCGACCGCCAGGGATTGTACAATAAAAAATATAATACGCGAAGCACAAAGTGAGTGTGTATATGTGTGAAGAGGAAGGCACAAGGCGAGCTGACAAAGGTCACCAGTATACAGGATTGGCCGACCGATTGGCCGGTAGCACAGTTTCCTGTAGCACCGAAGCATGGCATGTCAGGTAACGCAGCCTCACCTTGCAGGCTGTCAATGGCGAAGTCGGGCACCAGCGTTTCACTGTCATCTCCAGTCCACCCGTCCTTGCAGGCACACACACCCAGTCCGTAAGTGCCGCGGCCGCTGCAGTCAGCGGGACAGGGCGCCTGCGGAAGCACAAGGGGGAAAGGGGTTGCCGTGTGGAGTGCCATGGATGTCAACGCCAGGATGAACGGGGTACACATGTTTGGGATGGCAAAACGGATGTCGCAAGGGGGATGAATGAATGAGTGAATGACCGTTACAATGGTGCCCTAAAAGGGAACACGGGATGCTTGGATGCAAAGGAGACGGCTACAGGCATGAAGGCCGCACCGCCATTAAGGCATATGCCTCCTTCAGCCCGCAGCGCCCAACATGCGCGGTGGTGCCTCGTGACGTCATATGGTTCCGTGTCCTAAGCCAGTCTCCCCCCCACCTGCCCCCACTCACCTGGCGGCCGCAGCAACCTCCTGCAGCCCCTCCATGCTGGGTCTGTGGGGCTGCGAGCGGCGCTGACCTGCAGGTAGGCCGCAGAGCTGCGATCCACAGGGACGGGGCAGGGCAGGGCGGACACGGGAGGGACGCTCCGCCTGTGGGGGCAGTGACGGGGAGGCGGAGGGGTTAGTGAGAGGGAAGATGACGGAGGGATGATCGGGGATGAGTGGAATGAGAGGGTGCAAAGTGGGGCGCAGGGCAGTTAGAGGATTCAAGCTGGGTAGTCGAGGAGCCGCAAAAACTAGATAGAAAACGGCCCTAATCCATCCCAGCGACCCCTACAAACCTCCGACGCCTACCATGTAGTTCTCAGCCCTGCCTCCCGCCGAGGCAATTGTCTGGGTAAACAAACAGGTGAATTTCATCGGGCCCTCCGTCGGCCACACCTCGAAGAGCCCCGCTAACAGGAGGGCGTCGCCTGCCAGCGGCAGCAGGCCGGGTGATACCGCCAGCAGCTCGAGGCGGGGGGCGGAGGCGAGGGCGGGGGGAAAGAGGGAGGGGGGCTGGGCAGCGGAGGAGGCGGGCTGGGGGCAGGGGAAGCTACGGGAGGGAGGAGGGGAAGCACACGGAAAGGGAGGGAATGGGGTAATGAGAGGATTTGATATCTCGGGAGGGAGTGGGCCATGGAAAAACGGAGCGCAGGCTGCCAAGCAGTGCTTAAAGACAACTCGAGTAAAAACGTGCGTACCTAGAAACCAGCAGCAACAGCAGGAGAAAATGCGGATCTTACGCCGGCAACAAGGCCCATGTCAACTTATCCTGCAAGCGAGGCACATGCGGTATCGGCTTCGGGGCAGGGGGTGAGGTAACATGCATGAAGCTATTTGGAATCACACAAAGCGATGCTCTGTCGTACGCGTAAATCACTTACGTAGGAGCGGGCTGGGATGCCAAGGGGAAGGTGACGGAGGGGCGAGGGGCGAAGGAGACGACGGGCTAGGAGGGGGTGGGATTGGGAGGCGGGGCCGGGGTCGGGGAAGCCGGGGCAGCACCAAGTACTGCTCCGGATCTGAGGCATGCAGGGATAACATGAGGGAAGGAGCAGGGAAACCGATTGGCAACCTATACCCAACCTAACATGCGCCACTGCCCAAACATAGTACGCACTGCCAGGCGGCGGATGGCAGGCCAGGCCACGTCGCAGCAACACAGGTTGGCTACGACCGACAAGTCGATCAGAGAGGAGCCAGCTGCGTGTGACCCATGGGTCCTTCCAACCCCGGGCAGTCCCACAGGGAGGTATTCATGCAGCTGCAGGCTAACTGCTAGAAGTGGCTTCGGCCTTGAATGGAAACGAGAAGTAGGAAACGCGGGCCGATGATACCGAGGATACGACAATGGATCGCGATCAGACAGGTACTAGAAAGCATACACGGCGGTAAGTGCTATCACTGAGCTGATTGAGGCAGGTGGTGAGGCAGGCAACCCTGGATGCACTTTACCAAATCAGGCACTTCAAGCCCACCCTCCCTGGCCCCCCTCCAGACACTCACCCCTAAGCTGTTCCCACGTCAGAGGTATTGCCGTACAGCGGCTCATACCTGGAGATGAAAGTGGAAGGAGGTGGGGGAGAAGGACGGGGGAGGAGGCGGAGGGTAAGACGACGTTCGGGGGAGGTACAGGAACGTCATGGCCTGGAAACCAAGACATGACGGAGAATAATGCGCCAAAGGTTCCGCATGATGTTAACAGGTAGCAGACACAGGTGAGGTAAGGGAGCATGCCCACGTGGTGATCCCGGCTGCAGACCGGGTCCCTTTTGTGGACTAAGCGCGACTGCAGTGGCAACTGCATCCCCATGCACCAGCACTGCCATCACCACGCCTCACCCGGAGAAACATCTCCCAAGGGGTCCCAGTCGGAGCTCTTGACCAGACCCGCACTCGGGCACTGCGTCAGGATGGCCTCGCTGCCGTCGTATGCAGGGTACCTGAGCCACATGGGGACCGACCCACGGGTCTCGCAGCCATAGCTGGGTTGCAGCAATGTTGGTAGGCCACCGTAGTAGCCCAGACCTGACCTGGGGCGTGCGTCATAAGGAGAAGGAAGGGAAAGCACCCCTGGAAAACACCACCTGCAAGCCCACCTGACAGAGGAGAAAGGAACTGCAACAGACAACACACCAGACAGGATAAGGACAAGGACGGGTGACCTGCCTAAGAGGTCAAAACCTCACTCTGACCACCTGGACAGGCGAGGGGCAACACCACCACCACCAAAGGCTGAAAACAACCAAACAGCCGCCCTCCACAGGAACGACAACGAAAGAAAAACCACAAAACAACAACAAGTCACAACATTCCAACAGAAAACCAACAAACAAAACAGTTAACAAAAAAACACACATGCAACCCCCCGAGTTCCCCGCTGCTTCCTTTTCGCGGGTTATAAGCGCGTGGCTCGCTCTTACCCACTCATGTAAACATCACCTGCCCATCCCGCATCCTACTCACCCACCCACCCACCTGAGCGTCCAAACTAATGAGCTCCGAATTGCACATGGTGCCCTATGTCCTGCGGGTGGTATAGAGGAAGGAAGGGAAGGGAAGGCGGTATTAGGGTAGGGAAGTGTTGCGCGCACGCTGTATGCATGGGACAGACAGCTTTCTGCAAAGAAAAGCAGCGGATTATTCCCAGAGCGCATGCCAAGCCTTTTCCGTTACTGCCCCTCCTTACAATTCCTCATCCGGCAATCACAGTACGTTCCGACTCGCGGCAAGGGTAATTAAAAAATACCCCACCCGATTGGCCGGCTCTCTCCTGGTTACCTTTACAACGGGTGGGTTTATAATACCCTCCCTAATTCCCACCATCACATTGCCCCCAAGTACTCCCCTCCTTTCTACTCCCTCACACCTGCCCAGTCGTTTAACCGCCATCCCCTATAGGCTTCTCCGCTCGCTCCTTACCCCATTGTAGTACATTACCGCCACTAGTCCCGACCAGGGCCCCGGGCCCCACCACCAGCTGCACCGCTTCGGGGGCAGGGTCGGTGCCTGCGGTAGCACCAGCATGGCGTCAACGACGCGTTAATGACGCGACAGCGAGCTACAAAGCTTCCTTAGAGATTAGCCGATATTTCTAAAACCTAAAACCCAAACCCGGTCCTAACATTGTACGCACACCCCTAGCCCGGATGCGGAACTCCCCGCCCCACCTGTCGCTGATGTATCGCACCACACCGCAACGTCCCCCATGTGGTCCCCCCCGCAGGGCGCCTGGCTGCTGCCCTCCACATAGCCGCACTCCTCCAGCCCCCCCTCCTGCCCGCTGCACACCACCGGGCTCAGCGAGCTGGGAGCTGTTGACGAAGCTCCCAGAGCTCGGAGCTGACGCCGGGGGTGAAGTTGCCGATGCCCACGGCCCTGGGTTTTGTGCGGGGAGGAGGGAGCGAGAGAGGTGTAGCGGGGTTGAGGACGATGCGAGCATAAAGACCTTGGAGCTTGGAGGCTCGTTACACAAGGCGGGTGACGGAGCGCTTGCCTTCTTCAGTGTACTGCACCGCCTCAACCTGCCCTGACACCACCGACACCCCGAATTTACTTCCGCATGGCCGGCTAGCGGGCTGTTGCGCCCGAAAACCCCCCCCAACCACCTGCCCCCCATGTAGCCCAGCTGCCGGCACACCACCCGCGCTGCCTGGTCGTTGAAGCCGTTGTTGCACACGGTGCCCCAGGCGCCCTCCAACTCGGACCATACCTCCAGCCGACCTGCCCAGGGACCGGGGACTGCAACAAGGCGAGCAGTGCCGGGGGTGGGGTCCGGGTCTGCCGTGGGAGGAAGAGAGAGTGGAGGATGAGCAGAGGGGCGGTGCGGGAAGGTGCGAGCATGCAAGTTTTTAGGGAATGCGCAGGAAGACGTCTGCAGTGGGAGGCCGGCAGACAGGAGCCAGCTGACGGTAGCCTATTGCACGAAAAAAGCGCTCCCCACTGTCACAGAAAGGGGCTTTCTCGCATGCAGGCCCCATCCCTACGCCCATCTGACACCACACCACCGAACACAAGCCCACAGCAACATTTTCCGCGCCATCGCAGCCCACCTGCCAGGCAGATGACCCCTGCCGTGTGTCCCTCGTTTCCCAGGTACACGTATGCGTAAGAGAGGAAGGCCGTGCCTTGCGGGCATTCCACCAGCCGGCTCTCAGCACCCGAACAGCGCAGCGTGCTGAACCATAAGGGCATGTCCTCGCCTGGCGAGGGGAAAGGCGGAGTTACCCGAAACGAGATAGCACAACCGACAGTATCGACAATGCGTTAATGAGGGCGGCGGCTGAGGACTGGCGGGTAGGAAAAGGAAAGTATAAGGCGGGGGTTGTTAGGAGCTGTCCTTCGTGAGGGGCTGGGTAAAGTATAAGGCCTTTAGGGTTTATACTAAGAAAACCCAAGAACATGTATGGTCGCAAGGGAAGCGACAATATCCCTTGCTTCCACTGCACAGCGTTTGGTCGGTTTGCCTTGGCCTTGCCCGGCTACAACTGCAGCGGCTACAAATAACCTTACCAAATCTCATAACTCAGTCAGCGACATTGCGAAAGTTAAGAGGAAAACTTGGAAACAAGTCCGGAATCGCCCCAACGTAGCCTACTCCTACACGTGAAATTCACTTAGCTTTCTTCAGAAGGCGGCCTGGGGCTCGCATGGGTTGGCTTGCTTACCGGAACGTGCCCTCCATCCGTTGGCCTGCACCGCGTGTTGGCTGTTTTCCTTCTGGAGCTACGTCTAGCTGTTATTAATAGAAGCAAATAGATATACCAAGTAAGCAGAAGACTACAAGACACTAAGCTGGGGCACGACGCACCTCCCGCCGAAATGTGGCATGGACGCCCTCCAACGCCCCAGACCAGCCTTTGCGCTGGTCTTTCAACTAACCTTTCAACTAACTAAAGCTAAAACAGGTTTGGTCCTGTAAGTCCTAACATACCAGAGCTGGAAGGGAAACACGTATAGATGATCATACATCGCGTCCAAGAAAAGCGCAAAGTACCGGTAAGCCGCGTGAAAATTGCAGTAACTTATTCATAACTGTATAGAGAAGGAAGGGTTGGAAAAACCGAACTTGCAAGGGAGGCACCTACGTAAAGCTCGACAGCTTCATAGGAAAAGCAAGGTAGTAAGGTGAGTAGCTAGAAGGACTGGAGAGAGTAGAGCGCCTAAAGCCAAACGGCAGCCTGGGTTAGCAACGCACAAGTCGTTCTTGCTTAAACCGTCGTATTTTCACCGTACAGTGCAATGGGCGTCGGCTCATCTGCTGTGTTGACTGCTTGAACATTCGGTCACGCAACCCATGTTTGGTTTACATATAACCTTCGGCTCCGTTGAGTTCATATCCCTGCTCGCAGCATGGCGCCCATTTCGCTACCACCACCCCTGCTGTGGATGGTCGTCCACCTAGAAAAAATTAATGACCAGTTCAACGCAAAGCCCCCTCTGCGACTAAACCCCAACCCTCAGCCAGCCAGCAGCTCACATGCGCACCTGCCCGCCGTCGCCGCCTCCACCTCCCTGTTCAGCACCTCCACCTCCCAGCCCTGCAACCGCGAGACTACCAACATCACTCGCCCCCGCCGCTGATGCCCCCACCGCCGTTGATGCTGCCTCTCCTCATCCCCACCTTCACCCTTACCCTTCCCGGCGTCCCACCTCACCTGATGCCACCACTGAAGCCATTCCCGCCTCCACCACCGTTGTTGTACGACTCAAATGTGTGTATGACAACAAATGCGGCGGCAGTGCCCTCAGCGCCGCTAGGACTTCCGTACAGCCGTACACCGCCTTGGGAGCCGTCAACGCCACCAGCTCCATTCCTGAACCAACTGACGACAATGCCGGCGTTCCGATTGTCTTGTACGGCCCTGTACGGCACAAATCCTGCGGTGCCCCTGCCGTACAGCATGCATGAACGTTGTTGTCACCATTATGACCGCCGCTAGAAAGGTCGCTACCGCAGCCGTACGACCCAACAGCGGATCCACCCATGCAGCCACCACAACTGCTGCAACGAAAACAACAATCGTACGGCAAGCCCACTTGTGTCCCCCATGTAGCGGACGCCTCCGCAGCAGGCCGTACGGCACACAGTCGCAGGCAAGTCAGGTGTTGCAGCTGCAGGCCCAGATCTAGCAGGCATGGGAGCAGGTCGGGAGGACATGCCAGCAGCCGCAGTCTTGGCTTTATTGGCGCTGCTGCTGCTGCTGCAGTTGCTGATGCTACTGAGGGCGGGGGTGCGGGCGCGGTCGCAGCAAGCGCCAGCTGGGGCTCTTGCCGCCATCGCCCGCCCGGTTCCAAGGTGGGTTGGCGGGGGCGCCAGGGCAGCATGTCCACGGCAAGCGCCTCCAGGGAGGGGGGCAGGAGCTGCAGCGACCGGCGGAGGACTTGGGGACACGGCATGGGGTTGATGGCTGGGATGCAGGTGCGGCTGCAGCCCCGGTATGGCGGGGATGCCGCTGAGGGGTGTCCCAGCGGTCGGGCGATGAAGACAAGGCTGGTTAAGAGGGTGTGGAGGCGGAGGTCGATGACCTGGGGTGCAAGAAGAGGAAGAAAATACCATGTTGTGAATAACAATGGGGATTAGAGATGGACCAAACGATACGAAACCGCAAGGGGATTTCAATGCCCGTTGTTGTTTGCCGACCATGGCAACTGATTTCCGCGATCCGGAACAACGTTCCTCCATGTTCCGACTACGCACCATCCCCGTGTCTCGTACCCAAGCCGTACCTGCATTGAATTGTCGAACCCGTCATGCCCCATCTCCAAATGCAGGTGCTGCAGCCCTGTCAGCCGCGCCAAACAGGACGCAGTTGCCTGGTTAGGAACCACCCCCTGGTTGGTTAAAGGAAGAGAAAGAGAAAAGGGGTGGGGTGGCCGAGGAGGATCACTCAATTTCTGGAAGCCAGTAGCTAACGTGCAGTAAAAGAACTGTACGACGGAAGGTGCGCTACTGCCCAAGGGCACTAGTACGGCACTATCTCCAGTACGGCATTAGAACCCCTATGTCAACGGCAAGCGAGTCATCTCCTTCACGGTGGATGTGAATTGAGGTTGACAAGGAGTGCTGTATTGTCTCGCTCAGCTCAGCCCCTTGTTTAAAAGCACACTCCAACAGGGCCGCGAGCAGGTGGATCTCCGAGACACCGGACCACAACACCCACCCTCTCACACACACGCGCGGCTCAGTTGAAACAACACACTCGCGAGCAGCCCCCAATGCCACATGGGGTACGGCCCTGAGCCTCCCTACATCCCAGCATCTCTCGGTCCCTTGTCCACCCTCCTGCTCCTCCTCCCTTTCCGCGCCGCCTCCGCCCACGCATCCTGTCCGACCCGAACTACCGGTAAGCCTCCGGGCCTGGCTCGTTCCTCAGCCTTCCCCGCCCTCCCTCCCTCCCTCCTTCTCCTCCTCCAACTCACCACCAGTTGTAGCGCCCGCAGCTGTGTCAGCCGACCCAAATCAGGACACGTACGCAGCAGCTGCAGTTGCTGCTGCGAGTCATAAGCCAGGCCTAACGAAGAGCCGAACTTCAGTGACAGCCGCCCCAAACCAGGCAACCCCGTCGCCCAAGCCGCCACAGCCGCCTCATCCAACCCCAACCCTCCGCCCGCCCTTGCCCCCGCCCCCACCACCACCCCCTCGAGCACCAGTGTATGAAGCGAGGGGGCCCAGGCGGGGAGGCTGCCGTACAGTTGTGACTGCAGTCGTGCTGGCCAGCCCGCGATGTGGAGCTCACGAAGAGTACGGCAGGGCCCCAGGGCGGCGAGGCAGCAGGCGAGGTCGATGCGGCGAACAAAGTCCTGGGCGCTTGCTGGGCGGAGGAAGAGGTGCGTGAGGCTGTGGAAGCGACGGGTCAAAAGGCCGCCTGCTGGGGTGGTTTCGGTGCCAGCTGGGGAGTCGGGATTATCATGTTGGGCAAGGGTCTTATGGAGCTGGAGGAGCCAGGGAACGGAGGGCATGAGGCGGAGACGGCGGAGGAGGTGCGAGTCGACAAGGCGGGTGATGGTGCGGCAGGTAAGGCGCAGGGCTTCAAGGGCTCGGACTGAGAGGAAGGGTGCGATAGCGGCCCAGACGTTGGGCGGGAGGTCAATTAAGGAAATGTATGGTTGTTGTTGTTGAACGGCTTCTGCAGCACATCCGGAGCCCGTGGAAGTTGGTGAGCTGTCGCAGGCGACTTGCATGACTGGTTCCAGGGTTGCTGAAGAAGTTGCTCCACGAAGCGACACATAGTGAAAACATTTAAGCCATGTTGCTATATTTATTAGCAAACTAGTGGCGCCGTGGATACAAAATTACATCACGAGCCCCAAGCAAGTAGTACGGTATACTGTATGTGAGAGGCCAGCTTGTTTCAATAGGCGATACTGCATTTTGTATATCAATTCCATTACATTGTACAGAGTTGTGGTATGCGGTCGCTGACTTTGAGTGCAAGGGCAGCAAGCTAAAGCGCAACACCTCCTCCTTGCTGTCCCCTAAGCGAGCGTCACCTTGTATGGAGAGCTTTGTGGATGTGTCCTTCGACAGCGATTTCCCTTTAGAGAACCTACCTTGGGGCGTCTTCGAGGCGCCGGGTCAGGACGGACCCAAGTTGCATGTTGGCGTGGCGCTTGGTCAGCATGCTGTCTCCGCAACCGCACTTTACGTGAGCAGGAGCTTGTTATGGGTTGTTTGTGGATGAACTTGTAGCTCAGGTGTTTTGCTGCTCTACAAGCTGACATCCCTTGTAACGGTTGGTCGATTGCTCATGGCAGTCAGATAACATTCTGCTAAACATCTTCTCCGCATCTTGAGTAACCCTGTTCGCTTCGCCTTATCGCAACATGCCGTAGGATGCGGGCTTCTTGCGTGACCTACCGGGAGTGGGAGAAAATGTCTTCTCTCATGTGAGTACCAATGCCAATTCACATTGACCGTCAGCAGTGAGTACACGGTGACGTTAACGAATTAAACGAAACGTTAGGGCCACACATGAAAGGGTCTGGTACAGGGTTACCGTACGTTACCCCCACACTTGCGCAACCCCACATGCGCGCCCCCGCGCACCTGCAGGGACGCCTGAACGAGTTCATGTCCGCGGGGCGCCCCGCCTGGCAGGCGGCTCGCAGCTGCCTGCAGCGGCTGCTGAGCCGCGGGGAGGGGGCGCTGCGGGACTGCGTGCAGCTGCGGGAGCGAGTCCTGTTTAGGCAGGTAGATGGGGGTCAACCAGACCATACCGCACCATAGGAAACCACAGGTAGATGGGGGATAATATAAAGCTAAGTGGTAGATGGGGTGGCGTGTAGGTGGCGTGACTTGGTAAGAAAGGCACGTAGGTTGTGCATTGCTACGGGTCTTCATTTCGCTGCTGCTTGTTGAGGGGGTGATGTACGGGGTCGCGAGGCGGACTCCTCAGAGTAAGGGATGGTTTATCCTGCTGTGATCGTACGGCGTATTACCTCTTCCCCAGTGTTGGTTCGGCTGCTTGGAGGTTCGGCGACTCCCTCCTGCCCGCATGTCGGTGCTGCCGGGCCCCTCTTCCCGCAACACGCAGTATCTGTCGGTTTGGTCCTCTGACCCACATACCTTACCTGGAGCACTACGCCACATATCCCGTTCCCTCACGCAGACACAAACCCTCCCCGCATCTCATCACTCCCCACTTCCCCCCTTCCCCCCTTCCCCCCGCCCCCAGTCCGAGGTGCGCATGCAGCTGCCCGCCCACATCGGCGACTACACCGACTTCTACGCCTCCCGCCAGCACGCCACCAACGTGGGGGCGATGTTCAGGGGGCGCGACAACGCGCTCAACCCCAACTGGTGGGGGGGCCGGGGGGAGTGGGAGAGCCCAGCCACGGGTGATGGGGGTGTAGTGTAGGGGGAACGAAGGGAAGAGGAGGAAGGAGTTACGGCAACCGTGTGACAGGAGGGGGGAGCGGTGGGTCGCAGAATCGCACATTGGGTACGAAAAGGTTACACGTACCCCTTGTTCGGCCCCCACCGCGACCCTCGGCTGCGACCTCCCACCTCCTCTCCCCTCTCCTCTCCCCCCCCACCCCCAGGCTGCACCTGCCGGTTGGCTACCACGGCCGCTCCTCCTCCATCGTACCCTCGGGTGTGCCCGTGCGGAGACCCTGGTAGGGAAGGGTGGTGAGAGTTGAGGAAATTGACGAGCTAGGGAGGGAGTTTCGGGTTGCCATGACAGTCCCGATCCTCTCCATATGCGGCACACACGCGGCAGGCGACTGAGCCTCTGACGACTAACTACTCGTGCCTGCCTGCCTGCTGCATGTGGCATGTTGGTCCCACACCGCCCTGCCATGCCATGCCATGCACTGCTGGGGGTTGCACCCCGCCCCCCCACCCCACCAGGGGCCAGGTGCTGCCGGCTGGCAGTTCCACACCCGTGTTCGCGCCCAGTGCCCAAGTGGACTTCGAGCTGGAAGTGGTGAGGGGAAGGGTGGGTGGGAGGAGTGAGGTGCACCGACCAACGACCTGATTGGTGTGTGTGCGGTGTGTTACATGGGGCATGTGTGTCGCATGTGTCGGTCGGCCCACGCCCCATTACTTTCCAGTTCCGGTAGTTCCCCTCTTACGACTAGATGCAATCGACCAGACGCAATCGAAAGCATTGCAGCCCTGTGCTTATCTAACCCACCCTTCCAAACCCCCCCCCAGGCCGCGGTGGTGGGTCCCGGCAACCCGCATGGCGAGCCCATCCCCGCCCCCTCCGCCTGGTCGCACGTGTTCGGGCTGGTGCTGCTGAACGACTGGAGCGCACGGGACGTGCAGCGCTGGGAGTACGTGCCGCTGGGGCCCTTCAACGGGAAGAACTGGGTGGGTGGGGTTTGGGGGTAAAAGGCCGCACACCAAACCGTAGGAAACCACAAAGTAGGGCAACGCAATGGGTGTATGGCAGACGGCAGGGTGCCGCCAATGCAGAGTGGGGGTTGGCGGTCCCCACGGATACCGAGTCCGCGGCGGCGATGAAGGGTCGACTGTCCAGCGTGTTGAGGACAGTTGGCTACCGTATGAAGCTGCCTGTTGGCATGCGGTGGGAGGGCGGGGCGAGGTAGGGTGCCCGGACGGGCTGGGTTGAAGTCGGAAGGTAAACCGCTGCAGCGGCTGCTTGTCCTTATGGACCGCAAGAACCGACCCAGAACTGCAAGAACCGCACAACCCTCCGGTTTTGACTCTTACCCCACTCAGCCCCCACTTCGCACCCGCACCGCACCCCTCACCCGCCCCATGCTAGCAAGGGTGCTGCGTCCAGGGCGACCTGGGCACGAACACCACGACAACACAGGCACAGCGCCCCTCCGCATCTCCCCCTCGCCCCCCGCGTCGGGATTCGGGATTGGGACTCTGTTGATGCACTTATCTATATTTCCCCCCACCCCCGCAGGCTACCCAGATATCACCCTGGGTGGTCACCCTGGAGGCCCTGGAGCCCTACCGCTGCTCCCCACCACCCCGGCAGCAGGGGCAGGCGGGGGACGAGCCCCCCGAGCTGCTGCCGTACCTGCGAGAGGAGCTGCCGTACACGTACGACATAGAGCTGTTCGTGGACATCACTCCTGCGGGGGCGGCGGAGCCACACGTGACGTCATCACCGTCTTCGCCAGCTGAGGCAGCAGCAGCGGCGTCGTTGCTCGGGGGGAAGGGAGGAGCGGGCGGAGGAGGAGCGGGAGGAGGAGGAGGCGGCCGCTGCTGCTGCGTCCACCCGCCGACAACCGTGACTCGGTCCAACCTGAAACACCTGTGAGTACGTTCCTACTCGCGGCCAGCTTTCTCAACATACACAAGTGTGCATGAAGTTGATGCTCCTAAGTGCGGTTCTTGTTTATAAGACACCTGCGTTTATTGCCACCCGTGAGTGGATGCAGGGCTGCCTGACCACCTATCTGCCTGACCACCTATAAGCGCTAACTGTGTGTGCGGACGGGATATCGTCCACAGGCACCGTGTAGCCCCCCTGCCTCAACCCCTACTCCTCCTCCCAACTCCCTTCAACCTGCCGCCTCCTCTGCCTACTTATCCTGCCCTAACTTGTGGTGTCGTTATTGCCGAACCCTCTTTTCCCCGGGTCTTTCCCCCTCCACTTCTTCCCCCTCTTCCTCCTCTTTCCCCTCCCCCCCCTCCCAAGCTACTGGACCTTCCCCCAGATGCTGGCCCACCACACCGCGGGCGGCTGTCCGCTGCGCCCCGGCGACCTGCTCGCCTCCGGAACCATCAGCGGGGACACGCCCGACTCCAGGGGTTGCCTGCTGGAGCTGACGTGCGGAGGGAAGGAGGAGGTCGTACTGATGACGTCAGCACCGGCAGCAAGCGGTACGGCAGATGGCGGTGGTGGTACGGCAGCAGCAGGCGGGGTGGTGAGGAGGAGGTACCTGGAGGATGGAGATACCGTGACGCTGCGAGGGAGGTGCGGGGGAGGCGGCGGGGAGGAGGGAAGTGGGGAGGGGATGGTGGGGCGGCGGAGGGGTCTTGGGTTTGGGGTGTGCAGCGGCACACTGCTGCCGGCGAGGGCGTTGTGAAGGGGTGTGAAATGCAGGGGCACCGAGAGATTGCAACTGTGAGGCTAAGACACATGTGTGCTATAGCCGACTGAGAGGCCGTTGCAAACGGACATTTTTGTCGTATTGGGTGACGGGACAACGATATCCGCGTGCCTCGGAGCGCGGTGGACGCGTCGACCCTGGTGCGCGGTGGATGTGTGTTCCCGAGACAGCTATTTGGAAGGGCTTGGCGTGAGGTTAACCTGCAACTACCAACAGCGTAGAATTGGCTGGACAAAGGGGCTGGTAGTTGTCAGTTGGGAACGCAACATCGGTTGCACCTACCAAGCTTTACTCAGTAGCCAATGGGGGGCCGCCTGCAAGCCTATGTATGTGCACAAGCGTCGATTGTTTGGGCCTCCTACACTCGTCACACTCACTCCGTAGCTGGAGAGAGAAGGGAGGGTACGGATGCATGCAGACCCCTCGTTGGATGTCCGATCAGGTAGGGTCTCTTGCCAGGAGTCCTGCCTTAGGTGTTTGTATTGTACAGAAAGAATGAGTGACCGTTACAATGTAGTGTCTTGTACTGCTTACAGATTGACATACTTTGGCCCAACCTGTACGGATATCCACAACATCCCCATCACGACGTCAATACACACCCGACCGCACATCAATGTGGAATGCGGTCGGCATGCAGCTACACGCTTCTTAAATCAAAACATACGCCAAACACCCTGCTAAAAAGAATCTTAGGAGCATACATAGGTAGGACAGATCACCAGACGCCATGCCCAGATATACATGGGGCGGCCTCATTGAAGTACAGCACGGGTATAGGTACAGGTACAGGTTTGGGCGCGCATTCGAAGGAACTAAGACTACAAGCGTGTCCGCGACAAGCCGCCAACTTAGATGTGCATAATGTACGAACCATGAATGACTGAGCAGCATTCCACCTACACGCATTATTGCACCCATGCACGATGTATGGCACCAGTCCTGCTTCACAGGATCTCCCTCTCCTTGCGGCACACGAACCGCACGTCTTGCTCGCATCCCTGCTTCTGCAGCAAGCCCTGGGCGTCAATTAGCGGGCACAAGTCCTCATCATCCGCGCCCTTCTTGAACCAGCAAGTGTAATAGTTGCTGGCACACAGCCCCTGCAGGGCACTGTAGCCGGACGCATCGTCGTACGGAACCAGATCCCAGCCGTACCCCAGGTCACGGCAGAAGATCTCAGCCTCCGTGTACGGCATCCGCTGAGTGGCATCCACCGTGAACATCAGGTAGTCGTAGCCGTCCTGGTAGAGCTTGAGCACGTTGTTGCCTAAGTAGGAAACACATCGGCGCATGGATGTAGAACACGGTAAGTTTGTGTGTTGTAATGTAAATACGTAACTATTGTTTGCTATTCCCGCATGCATATATGCCAAGGGAGGGTGCGCACCCACCCACCCCCAAACGCCCTGCAGATCCTCACCTTGCTCGGGGGGTGTCGAGTTGCAGGGTGTGAACCAAGTGCAGCCGTAGCAGCGGCAGTGGCACCAGTTCGGGTAGGACTTGCTGTCCTGGTCGCACACCGGCAGGTACATGTTGGGGTACGCGGCATCGCAGGTCGCCAGGCAGCCTACGGTAGGTGGCAGCAGGGAATGAGCAGCATTGGACGGGGCGAGTGGCACAGGCCATTACAACGTGATGAAGGGAGCCATCATGCACGTGCATGCATAAAGCACAAGCTGTAGGGGGCCGATATCTGTTCCAAACCAAGCAAGAGGTGTAAATGCTACTGAACAAGCATGAGCGTAAGGGGCACTGGAAAACCGGACTACTGGAGCGCAGTGTCATACCGTTAATTGGGCTCTGCGGGCTGGGGCTGGGAGGAGAGGGGCTAGGCGGGCTGGGGCTTGGAGGAGACGGGCTAGGCGGCCTTGGGCTTGGAGGAGAGGGGCTAGGCGGGCTGGGCACTGGTGGGGAGGGGCTCCTCTTGGGGCACAACTTGTAGCCTGCGGTAATGTGGAAGAGCGTTGACGGACAGTGCAGTGTGTGGCAACCATTGCCCACACATGCCTCTCTCACAATGAAGGCGTCCTTCGTCGTCCGGGAACACGTTTGCTAGGGGTTGGCTAGTTGCTAAAGCAGTGCACGGCAGCGCTACTGTACGTCCTTACCTTTGGTACGGCAGACGAAGCGGACTGGCTGTTCGCAGTTCTGCTTCAGCGTAAAGCCCTCCTGGCTCATCAGGTAGCACAGGCCGGGATCGCATGTGCCATTCATCCAGCATGTGAAGCGGTTACTGGCGCACAGCTTCAGCAGGGAATCTGTCAGTCACATCGGGAGGGTTGGAACCAAATCTTTAGCATCGTCAGAGGGCGGGGTGCTATACACCAAAACGGACATGATGTCGCAGCATGCAGCCCTATTCCTTACCCATGGACGCGTTGTCACCGACAGGCGCCATCTCCAAGCCACGTTTCTCGCAAACGGTCTTGGCGGTTGTCCAGTTGGTCATGCAGCCCGCATCCACGTCGAATAGGGTATAGGTCCGGCAGTCATCAGGGTTATAGTAGGTCAGGTTCTTGTAAGGGTAGGTGAAGGGATCGCAACTGGGCAGCTGCGGCTGTGGCGGCGGCCGAGCGTGGGCCAGCGGCAGCAGCAGCAGCAGCAAGAGCGGGGTCGACAGCAGAATGGAGGCAGCCAGGGGGCTGCGGCCACAGCTTCCAGACCGATAACGGCCAGCCATGCCGGTTGTTGAGAGGGCGTTGCTTGGGGTGATTGGTAGTCAAAGATTTCTAGTATATATCGAGGTGGCAATAAGGAAAGTTGTCCTAGCTGTTGAGGGCTATTTAGTGTAGCTGTGCTCAATGGAAGATGACAATGATGTCCCTGGCAGCGAATATATACCAAAGCAGCGCTCGCGGATGTGACTGCGGAGTACCGTCATGACACGACTTGCAGTTGCATTGTCCCAATGACAACCGTTGGCAACCGTTACGCCTCTGTAAGTTTCAACATCTGAAAGTTGCTAATCAAGGGGACAATGCAACCTATATGTTATCTATTCTGTGTTTGTCTCGACCGGTATCTGTTAAACATCGTGAGAACATCGTGCAAGCATGTCCATGCTCAAGAAGCACTTTGCGGGGTCGAGTAATAACATTCAATTCACCGAGATATAATACATATCTGAATATACACATTGTGCTAGAGCACTTGCAACGTCAGGTTGGTAGCACTTTCAAGGAAATGACACGCATGCTCCCGGCTGGTCCAGCTTTTACGCGTAACCTGATCGCGAGCTTAGCTCATACTTTGAGCAAGGATAATCGTCGTTACGCGCCCCCCTAAGTCTTGGTCAAAGCAATAAGGCTTTCCTGCTAGCCCTCATTACATGCCCCCTGGTGCTTTGATGACCATAGGCGTCTTCCGCTGCTCTTACGGTACAGGATTGAGTTCATCACGGGCGTTAACTTTAAGGGAACCACTGTAAATGTTAAATGATCACTTCATGCAACCTGCCAACGGCGTAAAACAGCTGGCGGGGTTTGAGCCTGCACCCACGCACTCCAGAGCCCACCTAGCGGCACCTTACAGCTAGCTGCATTTTTCACCACCCAAGGCCGTTGGGTGGAGCTACGCCCAACTCTCATGACCCATTGGATGCTGCTAACCTCCCCTAGACTGGCGAACCCGCCTACCTAACTTGTAATGGGCTATCTATACCGGGCACGGGCGGTATCCTGCCCCACCACTTGAAGCCTGCGTTGTCGCCTGCGCTTCACTATGCTACGTGCACTCTTCCTGCCCCCGCTGACACAGGGCATGGTCCTGGGATTGTGGTGTTGCACTTCGCAATGCATTCTTGCAACACGGAATGAACAACACTATTGTACGGCAACCCATTTTCAAAAATGGGACGGACGCGCACATACAATAAGGACATATAGACGAAGAAGGCAATGCCGGGTTCAGGCGACAAACGGCACCAAAGTCACATGTGTCAGACTCCACTGTGATGGCACCTTCATCTTTACAGCCAACCCTCATCCAGTTTACCTATCACAAGGCCATCACCATTTTTGCCCTGGTGCCATAGTGCACCGTCGACACTTGCCGACTTGACTAAGCAAGAGCATCGAGCTTACCTGTATGTATGTTTCTGAGCAATGATTCAAAGCTGTGTATTGTCAACGGATCTATGGAATCAACTGAAGTAGTCTGCCAGTAGAAGCTATGCCGTACATGGTGTCAGCAACCTTCCCAACCATGTAACGTGGCCCTAGAGAGTACACACGCATTACTACGAACCTATGGCCCTAAACATATTATTGATTTGGTGCGATACTGCCAGGACGTTGCTTACCTTCAACTGGTCGTCGGAATGGAAGGAGCTTTTGGCCCTTCCGCTTTAGCAGACATGCCTATTCCTACACGTTGCTACCCTGGGTATATTTCTTTACTTAGCTTGCACTTTTTGCTATACTTCGGACCGAGAGCGGAGCGTGCATTCAACTTTCAGGATAACTAAGTGAAAGATGGCAGCAGGGTGCTTTAATTGGTATCGGAAAAGCAAAAATTCATCACGGGGTCATACCCAACCATCTCGCGCGGAGTTTAGTTCGGCAAAGGCGCTAAGTACTGAAAGGGGCGAGCAGTGCCCACCTTCGATTTCGCCACCCCACGGGATTAAGACTCCTGAAGATGGTGCTACGCACCCCAGCGGGGTACACGCCCACACAATTCGGGTACGTGCGGATGGCACGTCGCCATGTGACGCTACGGAAGGGTTGTCTTAAAGGGTCCCCCTCAGCATAGACAAGCTTCCTTGTATTCCTGCGCTTTTGCCTCCCCTGTTGGTCCCTTGTAGACTGGAGTGGTTAGCTTGCGTGACCCCATATCTTTGCGCGACTCGCTCATCCTGTCAAGCACGCCGGAGATAGTCACAATTGTTACACAGAGCGGGTATAAATGTTTATACCAGAACCCAGCGTCAATTGCTTGGCTCGGCTCTTGCGTGGAGCTTGAAGGCGTCTCCGAGGATGGCAGCGTGGGCATCTTGGTGGACGCCCAGCCAAAGGTCTCAGCTGACAATAATGTATTAAATGCCATTTTTGCGTACGATATGGAGAAGCTATACATCATGCTGGAGGAGGTAGTCATGGGAGAGGGTGTTTGGAAAGGTACGTTCGGTTCTTCGGTACGGTACCATGGGTCTTTTCATATAAGATTAATATAAGCACCTCGGCCAACATTTACGCCAAGTACCCCGCGCTCGTTAATCCCGCGCTCGTTGCATTTAGCCTAACTGGCTCTCGGTTGTATGGACCTTACGGTCAGTATCCCGTTGTTGACCTAACAACAAACGTGCCAACTCTTTTTCTCCAACCCCGTTCAATTTCCATCTTACGAAGCGCGCACGCTGTTTGCACTTCTGCACTTACTCCTGCAGGTGTTATTCGCGTGCAGGCTCAGTCGCAGGACACGCAGGGCCACGCACCCGCGACCTGTGGCTCTGCTGGCCGCGCCGCCGGAGAGTGTCAGCTGCCGTTGACTCCATCAGGCATCTCCTTGCACGCCGGTGTGAGCTGCGATGGGACAGGCACATCAAGCCTGCGTACCTCCCGACCCAAGTCCCTGGCCCCATTCTTCCAATCAGAGTCCTCCTGTCCCCAACATGCGGGCGGCTCAGCAGCTGCCGGTGGCGAGTTCGGCGGCAAACCTGCAGCCATAGCTTCCACGCCTGGCATGGTGCCCAGCACTGAGGGAAGAGCGCAGGCTGGGTTTGAGCTCTCCGGTCTTGATGTGTTGGATGCGGCGGCACTTGCACTTCCCGGCGGTGATGGCTCCTCCCTCATGAGCGACAAGGGCTGGGGTGACTCTGACCTTGCAGGTACAGTTGCCTGGATGCTAAGCTTCTATCCCGCTGCTTTAGGACGTTCGACTAGTTGTCTGGCCTCGCGTATAATATGAAGGGCGCCTGTAGACAAATCGCATCCGGGATCTTTGCGCGAAGGAGCATGCATCCTCTGGCCCATTTAGTTGCGGGCAGCCTAAGCCGCTTGAGCCTCCTTTCATGCGCCTCCCTTTTCCTTCCCTGGACTACAGCCATAACGGAGCCGAGGAGGCGTAGTTTGGAACGTCCCGCGGCGGCAGGCAGCAACACCAGCATGTCAGTGGGCGCTGCGAGCCCAGACGGCTACGAGCCCCGCTCCATCCAGCGTCCCAGAAGCGCTGTCTGCATCCCTTTGACCGCCGGCACTAGCACTCGCCTTGGGCCCCAACGCCGTAGCTTCTGCCTGCCCAACACGCATCACAGCCAGGGTTCACTATCTCCGATACCATCTTCATCCATGCTTCCCATCCTTCACTGCCCCCAAGTCGACGCCATGCAAGCGCCGCACCCTCCGCCGGTGCTGCTGCAGCTCCTGGGCAGCGGGCAGCCGACCCATCGGGGCCTGCAGGACTCCGGAGCCATCATGGTGCTGTCAACGACCGCATGCGAGGAAGCGGATAACAACGATGACCCGGCTCTCACAATGGTGACCCGGCCTGTCACTAGGTCCTTGCGCCCTTCATCTGAACCCCTGGGCGCAGTGAGGCCCCTGGCGCCGCTCCCACCTCCCGCACCCAGGGTCCTGTCCAGGCAGGGGCTGGTGCAGCCGGCGGCCAATGCGGAGGGCACGGGAATGCCGCGGGACAGCGACGGCGGGTCGTCTGCTTACTCGGGGTCTCTTGCAGTCTGCGCCATCGGCACCCCGAGCCCGCTGGATGGCAATGGAGGCGGCGGCAGCGCTGTTCCGGGCAGTGGTGGCAGTGCTGCGAACAGCGGCCGCGGCGGTGGCGGCACTCGCGACGCTGACCAGGGCAGTGGAGGCAACACCGGTGGCAGCAGTGCCGGGGGCGGCGGCAGGGACTACAGGGGCAGGAGTGGCGGCGGCGCTAGCGACTGCGCCGCCGCGAACTACAGCGGTGAGATTGCATGCAGCAGCAGTGGCGGCGGCAGTCGTTCACGCTCCAGCTTCCGAGCGATGCTGGGCAGGATCTTGAGCCGCAGCATTCGCGACTTGGGCGGTGGCGGCGGCAGGACGGGCAGCGTCAGCCCAGCCAGCCTGACGTGCGTCGGCGACTCGGGGGCAGTGGCAGCAGCTTCACTAACAGCATCACCTAGAGCCTCGTTTGTCACGAGTGTCGGCTGCTATGAGTGCGACGCTGCAACCAAGTGCGACCTGACGCCGCCGCAACCAAGACGTGATGCAGCAGCCCACTCGCCGCCGCCGCCGCTATCATCCCAGACGAGTGCAACCCAGGCCCACACGCCACGCGTGCGCATCTCCGCTTCTCGGCCAGTGGACTTGGAGGTGGATGGCGCGTTGCGGCAGCCGAGTCAGGGGCGTCTGCCGGTTCGCCGCATCCAATCCAGTCGGCCCTTCCGAGCCGCCGTCGCATCCTCCTCGGGCGCGCCTGCAGCAGAGGGAGTCGTCACGTCTTGGTTCGCACAGGAGTCAGCCGACTCGGCCACTGCTGCTCCAGTACGCCCAAGCACCCTGACGGGACTAGTGACGGCCTCGCGCCCAAGCCTCAGCGGGCGTTCCCTACACGCCAGCCGCAGTTTCATTGTGTCGTCCTCCCCCGCAAGCGTTACGCCGCTGCCAATGCCTTCATTCTCGCACGCCGTGGCGTTTGCAGGCAGCCTCCGTGCCGCGCCGACGGCCGCCTTGGCTCTTGCCGTCGGCACTTCGTCTGCTAAGCGGCGGTCGAGCCTGGCATCGGAAGGTGCCAACGCTGGCGTGTACGAAGGGGCGAGGACGGCAGGTGGTAATGGTGGTAGTGGAGTGTACGGCATCGGCGGTATGTCATGCAGCAGCAGCGGCACGGCATCAGGCACAACAGTGTCAGACGTCGTCAAGCTCTCTGGGGCGAATGCTGTACAGGCATCTGAGCAGACTCCACCGCGCCACCGGCTGAGTCGCGTGGGCGTTGAGGGTGGTGAGTTAGGAGCAGCAGCCTGTCGGGCAGTCGTGCCGCAGGCCACAGTAGCCCCCCAGTCGTTAGGCAGCGTGATGGAACTCCCCAGCTCGCCTTTTGCTACCGAGGCCGCCGCTGCCGCCGTTATTTCCTCCTCCTCGTTTGCCTTTCGGGCGCATTTCGACACCAATGATGGACACCTGCCCAGCTCCGGGCCTGCAGCGGCTGTCAGTGCGGCTTCTGCTGCTTCTGCTGGTCAAAGCCAGGCAGCGACGGCGCCACCTCAACTCGCCTCTGTGTACCGTACGACCAGCCTGGCCGCTGCTTCACAGGGAGGTGGTGGTCGCGGCGGGGCGCCTCCCGTCATCACGACAGTGGAGATGTTAAGCCGCAAGATGTCATCGCTGCTCGAGTCAGTGACGCCGTTTGGAGAGTGTGGTGCCGCGGTCGCTGAGGGCGCAGCTGGGGAAGTAGCAGCAGGGCAGCAGCAGGAGGTGTATCATGAGGTGTGGGCGCGGCGGGCGGTGGATCCCATCCTGGATGAGGACGTCATCATTATCACGCAGGTGCGATGAGGGGCCCTTGCGGCGGCGGCGCTGTTGTTGCGCGCTGTGTATACCTTTGTCCTGCTGTCGAAGGTGTGCGGCAGGTGTGATTTGGTTTGCGGCCGCATGCGGTCGGCTTTCATGTCGTCCGCGAAATAGCGGTGGCGCTACCGCACCCACCTACAGTTGTATACTACAGTTTCCCCTGTTTTTTACGTTGTGTCTGCCGGTTTGTGCAGCAAGTCTCCCACAATCTCCTGTCGTCACGTGTGCCGCACGCCTGTTCCTGTCACTGTTTTTTGCTGCACCCACACCTCCATCGCCCTTGGGTACTCCGGCTGTTGCCATAACACGTTACCGCTGCTGCCGCCGCCGCAGCAAGACGTGACGGCTCGGGTGCTTGCGGAGCGGCACCTGGGTCTGGTCATGGAGACGGAGCACCGCCTGCTGGAGCAGCTCTACCCGCGCCACATCCTGAAGGGCATTGTGGAGGACTGGGCGACTGAGTTCTCGCAGAAGCAGGCGGGGGGCGCACCCAGCCAGATGAGGCCGGGGGTGCGGGATCCGTACTCCGTGGCTACCTGGCATCCCAGGGTGAGGAGGCTTGGAGAGCGAGGTTTGGAGGGAAGGAGGGCACTTGTGTTGGGCTGTTGGCGGAGGTGTTTCCCGCTGCTGGGAGCTTTTGTCGTACAGTGCAGCACATGGAGGGATACCTGTGAAGCGTTTTGTGGTTTCTGGCGTGCGAGCGTCCTCGCATGCCTCCGCAGCATGTGCACAGTGCGATAGACTGTACGACTGGCTCGACAACAGTTTCCAAAATCTTCATGAAGAGCTGCCCCTTGCTTTTGTTCTCTCTTCCGTTCCCTTCCTTTCCCTCACAGGTCACGCTCCTTTTCGCGGATGTGGTTGGTGAGAGGGGCGCCTCAGGTTACCGAAAGTGAAACCGGGACGTTGGGGAAATTCTGTCTGCATGTGTAGTAACCGTAGGCCGCAGCTTAGCCGAAAGCGCACCTTGTGATGGCACGTCGGTCCCCCTTGCTGCAGGCTTCACGCCGATGTGCAAGGAGGTGGAGCCCCGGGCGGTCATGCACATGCTCAACGCGCTGTTCAGCCGCTTCGACTCCCGGCTGGATGAGTTTGGCGTGTTCAAGGTGCGGCCTTGCAGTCTTGCTGTATCGAAGGGGGGGGGTGCCTGGTCGCGGGTGCCTGGGTGTCGGGGGTCCGTTGTGTGGATCGCTGCGGAGGCAGTGCACCTTCACGCAAAGGCCCTGCTTGCCGAAGTCTACCAGGCGGTCACAGTCCCGGCGGAGGAATGGCCACCTGGTACGATAGATCTCAGTGAGTTGAAGTACACACGTGTGAACCACCCGGATAGGATGGGCCGAATGCCATCGATTGCCGTCGTAAACCCATGTATGCAAGCGCGCCATCTGCTTCCACGTACCACGGCAGCTAGCAAGAAACCTACTAGTTCTTAATGTCGTACTTCCCTACAAAAATGACATCATCTTCGCACGAAAAACATTACCTACCGATACCATGGCAGCTTAAGGTAGATGTTGGTGTTTTGCACCCCTCCGTTGGCTGCTCCAGCTCTTTTGCTGACCTGTCCCTACTGCTATATGTATCCCCACTAATTCCTACTGGTATCACGTACGGCAGGTGGAGACGATTGGGGACTGCTACTTCGTCGCTGGCGGGCTGGTTGACACGGATGAGGACGGCATGGCGAACGTGTGCAAGCGTGACGGAACCGTGAACGCCAGTCGTGACGTGCGGCGTGTGTTTGGGTTTGCAAAGGTACGCGTGGTTTTCGGGGTCGCCGACAGAATATCGATTCCAGGCTTCCCTTTGCATTGAGGTAGCTTGTCGCCTACAGCCCCTACATGTGTTGGTGGCCTTGCTGCAAATGGGTCGTGTGGCGATGCTGGCGGCTGTCTGAGGCTGTCTGAGATGACGCGTAAACCTGGCTAGCTGGTTGCGCCCTTCCCTACCTAGCTTGCCACCAGTAGTGGTTCGTTACCGTGTGTGCTGGTTTGCGCCACAACAACGATACAGGAGATGCTGGCGGCAGCACGGGAGGTCAAGATGCCGACCACGGGCCAGCCGGTCAAGATCCGCATTGGCATGCACACGGGCCCTGTGGTCAGCGGCGTGGTGGGAACCCGCATGCCGCGTTTCTGCCTCTTTGGTAGGTGCTGGCAGCTGCTGCCGGGGCTCCCGAGCGCTAGAAGCAAACCCCCGCCTGCTTGGAAGCACTACCGATACGCCTGAAACCCTGGGTGCTCCGCAGGCTGTATTACACGGTAGCCTGCTAAACTGCGGCAGCGGCGTAATAACCCCCTCCCAAGCACATCTGCTGACATGGCAACCCCTCCTGTCGTGTGCGTGTTGCCTGCTGCCTGTCTGTGCCCCCGCCCCCCCGCCAGGCGACACCGTCAACACCGCTTCAAGGATGGAAAGCACCGGTGTCCCGTGCTCCATCCACGTGAGCGAGGCGACGTACGTCTTCCTGCAGAACGAGGAAGGATGGCAACCCACGGGCGGCATAGAGGTGCGTGGTCGGTGCGTCTTCTTGTGTCCGTTCCCGTTACAAACGCGCCACCGTGCCATACGGCAAAAGGCTATGCGGCATGTTTAAGAAGATGACTGCATGAGATGTTTACATTACGGCGTGGGTGGTCTTTGCGTTGCGGGATGCCAGTTGCCATGGCAGCCCGGCAGCGCCGGTGTGTTGTGAAGAGGCTAACAACCACCGGTGGGTGTATCACACGAGGAATACGACGTTGGCTAGAACACTTCTTACAGCTGGCACAGGATCTTCTAACGCTGCGGGCACCCATATGTACGTTCCGCCGTCGTTCTAACCGCAGGTGAAGGGCAAGGGGCACATGAAGACATACATCAACTCCCCTCGAGTACCATAACTTTCCACGGAGAGGTAACCGTTTCCGTACTTACATTCAACGCGTATTACTTTGTACTGATGAGGCCTTTGCGGGTGTTATGAAAGCATGTCTGCGCAAGGTTTACCATCGTTCCTTCTGAATAATGACAACAAAGGACAACATAATGGGGTATGCATGTACACGTCTGTAAGTACTTGATGGCGATTATGGTACGTAATTTTCATGTGCCTCCCTGTGCCACTTTCTGGCATACACTAAACTACTCTAGGGCTCGTTTTTTCGGTGGATGTTGGGTTCGTGAGGCTCTTAATCCGCGCCTGATGAAACTTGGCATGTACGGAGCCACGACCGTCGTACTTGCAATGCGGCGTACCAGCTGCGCACTTGGACGTATGGGAGTCTACCCCCAGCTTGTTGTTTAAGAGTGCGGCCATGGGACGACCTGTGCTGCATATTGTGAGAAGGGTACACTCATCCGCGTGCGCGTGTGGCTAATATGTGTTAAGAAGACGGACCCATGTATGTGTGGGCAGGAGGGGGGGTGTCATGTATGGTGCCCTTCGTACCAATGTACGACTATCTGCGCCTTGAAGATGCTTCCTGGGCTGTTGTGGCGTGCTCAGTGCTTTCGGCCACACACTGCGTGTCCTTGTGTTGTTCTGGATCCCTAACCAGTGGCGGCGTTGCGTTATTAGGGTTATGTGTGGAGTCCCCAAACCACGAGCGCTTGGTTGGATCGTTCCCTGTGTTGATACTTGCGGCCGCGGCTTCCGATGTTGGAAGCTGGCTGGCTCGCGCAGAAGGCTGTACCGTTACACCGGAATTGCTTTACGTTTCGGCAATTGTAGGCCGCGTGCCGGTCGACAATGCATTTGCGGCGAATGCTATGGTACCCTCCGCCAATACATGCGGTCGTGCATTTGTGGGTTTGGTCTGAGTTGCATGCGCGCGCGCGTGTGAAAACCACCTATAAAAGCAAGATATTATGGCATTATGTATTGTAAACTTGCGGGAGCGAGCGCATGGCGTTGTGCGCGCCGTTGTGTCTTTTAAAGTTCTTGCTTTTGTACTTCTTTGTGCTGATGGATGTTGTGCCATGCCATCGCGTTGCCGGGCGTCACTGCCCTCGCAGATTGATGGTTGCGATTTTTGAAAGACACATTATTAATGGTGTGCGGTGATGATGCGCTGTTGGTCTGTTGGTTCATGTGTGGTACCGGTATACTCCACATTGCAGGTTTTGTCCTGACTGCGACAACGTCTGCGTTAGCGGTATCTTATCTTTGATATGGATCTAAGATGCGTGGGTTCCACTGTTGGGGTCTTGGTTGAATTTTGAGCGGACGAACGGTTACATGTAAGCGCCAACTCGGGAGAGGTCCCCAACAGCACCTGCGGCGGGCGAGCCCAGACGCCAGACCTGCTGCCAGCTGCATGGCACTTCCTGAATGCCACGTCATTGTGGCGCGTTGGCTAACCAGGATGGTTTGGTGCGGCGCTTTACATGCTGCTGTACGGCACACGTAGGTCATGCAATCAATGCATGCGGCCCTCGAGACCCGGGGCTGATGCTAGAAGCGGTCCAGTTGTCGAGTTCCAGCTGGTCCCATGCAGCGAGCATTTATGAGTGGATATAAGGTGGACACTACAAGGTTGCGGTGGAAAAGAGCCTGATAAGAGGCAACGGTACACGTCCACACAAACACCCACCCACATCACAACATCAAAACATTATGTGATGTTTATTGTTGAATTAAACACCCACCCACACTTGAGACGCAAGAGATGTCTTCTTCAAACCAAAATGCTTCCTCACGCAGAGGGATCCAAGAGATCTGCGGAGCCCACTCGGGCGCACCGCCCTTGTAGACCGCAACATAAGACACCTTTGAAACCCAAGCACAACACCTCGACATGCGTACCAGCCGCTTCAGCCTCCATCTCTCCTCTCCCCAACCGAACACGGCAAGGCTGCCGCCCAAGCTGCTCAGCCGCTGATTCTCTGCGACCAAACGACCCCAACTGGCGCGATGTTGTCACGCCGTGCACACCGTGAACTTCTTCCCCCCAACGAAACTGACGCATGCATCCGTGCTACTGGTACTTCCCCACCGCCCTTCGTGGCCGGTCCAAAAAGACGCGACGACAAACTCCGAATCTCGCACTGCACGGGTCGTGACCCTGGCGGCCACCGCTCCCACGTTAGCCCCCGCCCTGCACCCACCATCCATTACGCCAACAACAAACTCCCTAACCCAGCTCCGAAGCCCTCCAACCTGCTCGGCTGCCACCAACCCTCTCCGCCCATCACCAGTTCACCGCACTCCCACAGCCTTCCTGCTACTGCCCGCTCGCTGGCCCCTCGCCGGGACCCTCAGGCTGCGCACCCTTGTCTCCTCCCCTTCACAGGCGCCGTCCTTCTCCCCCTCCCGCCTCCCCGCCCCTAGCTCCCCGCCGCCACCAGATTGACCCGGATGACGTTGCTGCCCGGCTCCAACGTCACACCCGCCTGCCGTACGTCGTTGTACCTGGCGGCACGGGGCGGGAAGACAGGAAAGGAAGGGAGGGGGTTTAGAACAAAAAAGGGGAGGGGAAGCGATTGGAGTCCCAATCCCATGGTGGTGGGTGGGCAGGTAACGGTGCGGGGAGGTAACGGGTGTGGGCGGGGCAGGCATGAGGGCCTCCTAGTTCGGCATCCATCCAGACCGACGGCATGGACCCAGTCAACCATATTGGTTGGTTGGTTTTGATTTCCTAATCGTCCACGAAATCTGCCCTAGTACCCTCCTACGCAAATGTGAACTAATAGACCGCATGTTTAAGATTTTTGGATACCTAATACAAATCCATACATCGAAGGACGCAGCCGCCACAAGTCATTGCCGCCGAGTCGCTAGGATCCCCCCCTCCCCTCCCCTCCCCTTCCCTCCCTTTCCCTACCTGGACAGTGTCTTCTGCAGCCCAGTGATCCAGTAGTTGAAGTGGTTGGGTCGCCGGTGCTTCTTGTACTTGACGATGCGGGCCTGCAGTGTGAGCAGCAGCAGCAGCAGCAGCAGGAGGATGAGCGGTGGGCAGCAGGAGGATGAGCGGTGGGCAGCAGCAGGAGTGGGAGTGTGAATGTGAGGAATGGCAGCTTCGGGGGCAAGCGTGCGACACGGGGGTTAGGGAAGGGGAGAGTGCTATACCGGTAGCCGTGGGTGTGTGGCGCCCGCGCGCGGGTGTCGTCAGTCCAACCGGCCGCTTGTGTTTCTAACAGCACACGTGCAACCAGGGCGCAGGCAACCGCACACATCTCAGCCGCAGCCTTAAACCCCCTAAAAGCATCCCATCCGCAGCCCCCGGCCCGCCCGCTCCGCACCTGGATGCTCTCCCCCACCAACTCCGAGTTGATGGTGACGCGAGTGTGGATGGTGACCGGGAACTGCGGGGCGGGGGGGGGGGGAGGGGGTAAAGGGGGGCAGAGGTGCAGGTGAGGTGCTGGGTTGGAGGAGGAGAGCTAGGTAGGGCAAAGAAGACAGGGGCGTAGAGGAGGTATGGCTTATTGTGCGGGGCCGTTGAGCACGCATGCGTGGCGGGGTGACAGGGAAGCGGGGAAGAGGGCTTGGGGGTACGGGATTCCGGCTGGAAAGCATGTGCTCAACTACCGTACTCTTATGCGTGTGTAGGTAAACATGCACGTGAAGATACCGTATGCACGCTACCAGGGAGGTCGGCGTCCCCTCACCTCCACATTCGCGAAGTGGGCATTGATGAGGTTGAGGGGCACGTGGATGCGCCCGTCGTACAGGCGGGGGTACTGCTGGTTGCCGCCTGGGGTTGGAAGGGAAGAGCAGCGGGGGGGGGGGGGGAGGGGTAGCGGGCAGGCAGTAAGGAGCAGGAGCGAATGACGTGTGCGCAGTACGGCAGACCAACAAGAAGGCATAAAGAGTCCTTGTGGGGTTTTGCTGCGAGCCACGGACGGCAAGTACAACTTCAGAACAAATAACGACACCTCGGGTATCCTGGTATCCTTGTCATCGACGAAGGACCCATGGGTCACATACCGGTACTAGGTACCGTGTAAGTGGCACGCACAGGGCACAGCGCACGCTCGCGACGGCAGCCGCTCCGCTTCCGCTGCACCCACCCCCTTCGCCAAGCGCACCCACCCGGCCACCCACCCACTGCGCACCTGCAATGTTGTTGCTGAGGGCTCCATGTGTGGGCTGCCCAAGACCCACGGGTCGCGGCAGCCCCAGCAGCCCCTGGCCGCCTGACAACAACGTCTGCGGGGCGACGCAAAACGAAGGCAAGCAAGAACGTATCGTGCAATCGCTAAGTTACTTTCCGCTCCCAGTCGGAGTAGAACTCATCCCTACGGCCCCTCATGACAGCCCGCCGTCAACACGGTAAGGCAAAGTCGCAAGCGGATATGACGCAAGGGCAGACACGCGCAGCAGCCCCCTAGGACGTCCCAGATATGGCTGGAACTCCATGTCCGTCACGCAGAGGATTAACCCAAAACCCAGATGACTCCTTCCACGTTTTAACCCCCCGCAGCAATGCCCCCTCCTCCCACGACCATCCCCACTCTACTACCGCGACTCCACTCACCCCCCCGCCCGCCCGCCCCACCTGGATTGCATCCATGCTCCACTGCCCATTGGCTGCCGCCGCCGCCAGCAGGTCGCCCGCGCTCGTGAAGCCTCCGGGCCCCATCAGCCCCGCCGGCAGCCCCGCCAGCGCTGACAGCGGACCCAGGTGCTGTCCGGCTGCAGTGCCGTCCGTCGACTGTCCCGCCGCCGCCGTACCCGCTGCCGTACCTGGTCCCGGCGGCGGCTGCATGAGCGGCAACAGGAAGGATGGAGCCAGCGTGAACTGCCCGGGGGCCCCGCCGCCGGCGCTTCCGCCAGCGGCGCCGCCGCCGCCTGGCTGCTGCGAGCCTCCTGGCGTGGCCATGATGTTCGGCAGCCCGGGTATGCCGCCGCCTGGAGGTGCCCCGGGGAGGCCGCCCAAGTGCCCGCCAGCAGCGGCGGCGGCGGCAGCTGCCGCAGCAGCGAACTGCCCGGCCATGCCCGCCGCCGCTCCTGACGGCTGTTGCTGCTGCTGCTGCTGTGACGGCGCCGGCTGCTGCTGGGAGGGCAGGCCTGGAGCCATGATGAGGCTGTGCATGGCCGCAAGTGCACTGTCCAGGGACCCAATCCCAATCCCGCCGCCGCCGCCTCCTGACTCCAGCGGCGACGGTTGCTGCGGTGCAGTCTGTACAGCTCCCGGTGCTGCTGCATCTGCAACGGCTCCCGCTCCTGGTTGCACCGCCTGCTGCTGCGGCGGCTGCATCTGCCCCCCAGCCCCCTGCGCCTGTAGCTGCTGCTGCAACATGGCGTGGTGTGGGTGGTGGGCGTACATGGAGGGAGGTACCCCGTGCGGCAACAGCATGTGCGGCAGAGTGCCGGGCGCCATGGACAGACCCGGCCAGGGCAGCGCCTGCATCGCCGTGGCCGCCGATGCTGCCGCATTCTGCTGCTGCTGTTGTTGCTGCTGCTGTTGTTGCTGCTGCTGTTGCTGCGAGGTGCTGCCGTCTGACGTTCGGGAGGCAGCGGCATCCACCTCGTTCTCCGCGGGGGGCCGCACCCCGGCTGCCTCCCCGGCCTGCTGGGCGCTGTCCGAGGCAGCCAGGGCAGCCGCCAAGCCACCCGCCTCCAGCCCGCCAAAGCTGCTAGGCTGCTGCGGTGGTGGTGGCTGCGGTGCCGCCGCCGCCGCCGCAGCGCCGTCCATGGCGGCAGCTGCCTGCTGCTGCTGCTGCTGCGGTGGCAGCCCCTCCGCGCTGCTTGCACCCTGCCCCTGCCCACTGAGCTGCTGCGCCATGCCGCCCAAGCCGACATTCCCATCGGCGGGGGCAGCAGCGGCAGCACTCGTGGGCCCTTCCGACGCAGGCGTGAAGGCCGAGCCGCCGCCGCCGCCCAGAGCTCCAGGCTGCTGCTCCGCTGCGGCTCCCGCGCCGCCGCTGAGGGGTGGCGGCGCCGCTGCTGCCGGCCCTGCCGCCGCACCAGCACCACCGCCGACCCCAGGCTGCTGCAGCTGCAGGTGTGACAACGGCGGCGGCGGCAGCAGCAAGGGCTGCACCGACATGGCTCCCGCTGTGCCTGCAGCAGATCCGGCCGGCAGCGGCCCGCCGGGTGCCCCCGCGGCGGCGCCACCCAGCATGGCGAGGAAGGTATTGGGGTTGGGCCCCGGCGGGAGGCCCGGCAGGCCGCCGGATGGCGGCAGCAGTCCGGAGTTGCCGCCAGCAATCGCACCGGCGGTGCCTGCAGCTGCGGCTGCGGTGCTGCTGCTGCCCGGTAGCAGCGGCGGCATACCCGGCAGGCCTGGCGGCATCATGTGCGGGTGGCCGGCGGCTGCAGCTGCCGCAGCGGCGGCCTGCATGGCGAGCAGGGCGCCCAGGTCGAAGCCCCCGGCAGCCGGGTTGCTGCCGTCCGCCTTCAACATGAGGCCGCCTGGGTGGTGCGGGCACGCAGCAAGCGGTTGAGCGCGTGTGGGTGCGGGCATGCAAGCGTGTAAGCGCGCAACGGTACAGACTCTGATGGGGAACGCACGCACACGCACAAACACACGGCCAGTTATTTGAACACACATTAGTTTGGGAGGTTGAGGAGGAGTGCCGAGGGCAGAGTGCCGTATGCCCCCCCTCCTCAACGCAGCAACATGCATGCCAGCAGCACAGCCAACAACGGTTGCATGGCTGCCGAATGGCCGCTGCTGCACACCACACCCGCACACCAGCACACCCGCGCCCCCGCTCACCTGGTTGCCCGAAGCCCCCCGGGGGTCCCCCCGGCAGCCCCAGCAGCCCCGGGTGAGGCAGCGCCCCCAGCGGGCCCCCCGGGCCGCCCAGCTGCAGCTGCGGGTGCTGCTGCTGGTGCTGCGAGTGGGTGAGTGCTGCGGGCTGCGGGTTGGGGTCGTCCCAGGTGCCTGAGGCGGTCAGCAGGATGCGCAGCTTGGACTCCTCCACCAGCTCCAGCCCCGTCAGCCGCACGTCCTGAAATGGAGGGGGGGTAAAGAGGAAACAACTAACTGACCGCGGGGAGGGGTCAAAGACCATACCGAAACATAGGAAACCACATGTTGGGGAAAAAACAATGGGGATAGGAAGCGGCAGGGGAGGGAGGTGCAGGAGGAGCGGCAGCGTGAATAGGGCGGATAGTCGAGAAACGGCACTGGAGGGGCGCCGTACGCAGGGTGTAGGTGAGGAAGGCGGGGCGAGGGAGTTCATGGGGGGGGGGCACGGGGTGAGAGGTGGTGCATGCATGTGCGTGCGGAGGGAGGTGGCTGGGGAACGTGGAACTGGTGCTGCAACCATGAGCCATGTGTGCAGCACCGTACTCTTGAATGGCTTTATGTGCCGTACACATCTCCTACCTTGTAGTTCTTGATGAGTCGCTGGTGCCCGGTGACCCAGTGATTGCCCAGCCCGTGTCGCCGGGTCTTGTTTTGGCTGCGAGCGATCTTGACCTGTGAGGTACGAGAGAGGGAGAGGGGGGGAGAGAGTTGCAGTATTGCGGTATCGCGGTTGGCTCTACTTCGGACTGGACCACAGCTGATAAGGGCTTTCCAGCAACGACCTCTGTGCAGGTATCCGTCTGTGCGGGGCATGCCTTTAAACCTCGACCACTCCCGAAAACCCTCAACACGGAATGACAGGGCCCGCATGCTGTTCCCTGTAGCACCCTGCAGGCACCCATGTCGCAATCTCCCATCACCGCAATACCGCCACTCCGCCCCCAATCGCCTGCTCCCCAACACCATCCCAACCCCGCCCAAGCCCCAGCCCCCACGAGCCCCAGCCCTCCCCACCATGAACGCCTCGTGGATGACCTCCCCGTTCACCACCACATCCGCCGGCAGCCGCAGCGGGAACTGCTGGTCCGCGAAGTTCTTGTGCACAAAGGGCAGCGGCACGTAGATGCGCCCATCAGCCAGCTTCATGCCCTCCTCAAAGGTAACCTGCAGGGGTGGGAGCCGGGGGGCCGGGGAATGGCGGAGGAGGATGCATGCCGAGGAGGGATCAGGAAGATGCTTGCCCAGGTGGGGACCAGGAACCCAGGCGGTCTTCCGCGCACGAGCCACATGTGTATGAACGGCACGCCGTTTACCCAACTAAATGCAGAAGCGTTTGGTGTTACAAAACACCGTGTATCGTACAGCGCGTGATGGGCACGTGCTTTGAAGCTGTTTGGACGGATGAATGAAGGCGGATGCGCGCATGGAGAGAGCGGCAAGAGAGCAAAAAGCCGTCGATCCCAATCCCCGCTACACCAGTAGTTTCCGCGCAACCGCAGCAGCCACACCCACCCGTGCTCCGATCTTCAACGCGGGCTCGTAGAAGCGCCGGCCCTGTCCCGTGCTGCGCCGCTCCCTGCCCTGCATGACTCGGCGGCACCACAAGCAAGCACGCGTCAGACATACACAGGCAGGGAGCGAGGCGGAGGGCCGCACGCAGAGCAACAGGGCGACGTGGTGATGACGACATGCATGGACGTTTGGTGGATCTGTAACAACTGTGCTTGTTAAGGTCCGAATATGAACGCATTAAAGGTTGAAAACGCCTCGTCCAAGAGATCCAGTCCGCCTCGCCCTCCGACGCCCTCGCACCCACCTCCCTCCGCCTGCCCTCCTCGTCGCTCATGTCCTCATCAAGCACGCCCTCCGACTCCACGCCACTGCCGCCGCGCCGCCGAGGAGCGCGCTTCCGTCCCGCCGCCGCTGCCGCCGCCGCCACCGCCGCCGCGAACTCCCCCGCCTCGGCGCCATCGCCAACCAGCCCCGCGGCGGCACCTCCCGTCAGCTGCTGCATGTGCGGACCGCCGGCGCCGCCGCTGCTGCCGCTGCCAAGCGAACCCGGCGCCATCAGGCCCTCGGCGGCTGCTGCTGCCGCCGCCATCGCCGCCGCCAGCGGATTGCTCCCTCCCGCCGCCGCCGCCAGCAGCTCACTCAGCTGAGTGGAGGCCGCCGCCGCCGCCGCGCTGCCGGGCGCCGATATGGACGCCTCGTGGCTCGCCAGTGCCGCCTGGATGAGCGAGGCGACCATGAGGGGCTCGGGGCCCAGCTGCTGCTCCAGGAGTGCCAGCGGAGGAGGGGCGGCACCAGGCGCCAAAGAGGAGCCGCCCGCGCCGCTGGTGAGAGGCGGGAGCAGCGGCATCGCCGGGGGCACTGTCGGCTGCGGTTGGGGAGCAGCCGCTGGGGCCTCTCCGCCGGCTTGGGCGGCTGTTGGAGGAAGAACCGCGATGGTGAGGTTGCCGCCCGCAGCGTCTGCTGCATTGCTGACGCTGCCGTTGCCGGCGGCAGCGGCGGTTGCAACCAGGGGAGCTGCTGCGTCCTGCGTGCCAGCAGCAGCAGCTGTAAGCAGCGTCAATTGCTGCTGCAGAGGCGGTTGCGTGGCAGCAGCAGCCGCGATGGCCCCGGCAGACCCCTGCTGCTGTTGTTGCGGTTGCTGCTGTTGCGGTTGGTGGCCATCCAGCCCCGCTGCAACCAGTCCAGACATCAACGCCGCTGCAAGATCCGCTCCGGGGTCCGACGAAGCTCCCGCTGCCGGTGCAGCAGCAGGCCCGGCAGCAGGAGCTGCTGCAGGGGGCGGCAACACAGCCATCGGAGTGTTCTCTGCCGCCCCGCCAGTGCTACCAGCAGCCGCGGTCCCTGCCGCGTCGGCGATCTGGGTCGTTAGAGACCCATGGGTCAGTTGTGCAGGCTGCAACTGTGGGTGCTGCTGCTGCTGTTGTTGTTGAGCAGGAGCGATCAAGGCGCCTGCAGTCGGCATGGCCGCCGGTGGCATGCCTGCCGCCAGCAGCCCTTGTGTCAGGTGGTGCGAGAGGAAGTGCGCGTCGAGCTGCGGCTGCTGCTGCGGCTGCGGGGGTGGCATGGTCAGCGGCAACGTCAGTGTTTGCGGCGGCGGCGGCAGCTGCTCATCATCCGCCAGTAGCTCGCCGCCGCCGCTGTCCGCTGCTCCCTCTCCACTGGCCACCGGCGCATCATCCCCGGCGCGAGAATCCATCACCGTCTCGGCCTCCTGCGCCAAGAAAGCCTCTCCGCCGCCTTCCCCGTTGCCATGTAAGGAGGCAGCTGCTCCTTCCATCTGCAAGGGCATGGGTCCTTCTGAACCAGCAGCACCTGCGCCGGAGGTGCGAGCTCCCGGCAGGGATACCTGCCGCTGCGTTGCAATGTGGGCAGGCAGCGGCCGCCGAGTGCGGGGCCGCGTGGGGATGGCGACCGCCACCTGAGCCACTGCGGCGGCTGCGGACGGCGGCTGCGCAGCGGAACGTGGGGAGGAGTCCTGGCCGGCGACCGTTGCAACGCCGGCACCGGCGACGCCAGCAGCACCGGCTGCCGTACCTCCACTGCCGGTGCTGCCGCCGCGTGTCGTACGGGTCTGCGGAGCTGCGCCGGCGCTGTTACCCGAGCTGACGGCGCCGCCGACAGGGGTTGCGCCGGCAGCGGCAGTGGTCACTAGGGGCGGCAAGCCACGTATAGGGCCCGCGGCGTGTGCGGTTGGGACGGCATGCGCTACGGTGGTGGCGGTGGTGGTTGTGGGGCCGGCGGAGGGCGTTGAGCGGGTCTTGGGGGAGGCGCCGGCGGCGGCGGATGGCCCTGGGGTGCCGCCTAGCGCGGCTGGCTTGTTCGCCTGCTGGGAGCTGACCCACCTGTCGTGCGCTTGGGCCAGGGCGGCAGCTGCTAGCACGTCGAGGTTTCGGAGCGGGTCAAACTGCAGGTACAGAGCGGGAATAGCAGGGCATGGGAGCGATGAGCCGCTGGAAGCAGAGGTGGGCTGCTCGTCGGCAACAGGCTACCACCACAAGTTCGGTACAATGCCACCCGCTTCACAACGAGGAATGCTTGGACGGCCCCGGGTAGGCACAACGGCCGACTCTGGCGATAAAATCAGGGCAAGAGCACCGGAAGTCTCCGGGTGTATACATGGAGTCCGGCTGCGCTTGTAAAAGTTTTAAAGGAACCGCGTCGTTGCCTGTCATGGCATGATGCATACCTGCGACTCAGAGCCGGGCGTAGGTTCCACCTTGGCCTTCTTGCGAGGCGGTTGCGCATCTTTGGCTGCTCCAGCACCACCCTTGCCAGCCTTTCCACCTTTGGTACGTTCGTCGGCATCGTCCTCATCAGCATCCTTGCCCTTCATCCGAGATGTACCGGTCCGCCCGCCCGTCGCTTTGTCCGCAGGCTTACTGGCCTTTCCAGACCCCTGCTTTCCCTTCGACGCGCGGTCTGACGAACGGCGAGCCGCGCCCTCCTCGTTATCCGAGTCTGAGTCTCCGGCATCGCTGCCCGCCTCTCCCAGCGTTGCTGCCCCGGACGCTGCTTGCTGCGCGAACGCCAACGCCTGCTGAAGGTTTACTCCATCAGGTAGTACTGCACCTTGTGCAAGTAAATGTTGTTGCAGCGCCCGGAGGACGTCAGGAGTGAGCTCCTGAGGTCCGGTGCTCATGTCTTCTTCAAAGGACGCTAATCTAAAGGATGTAGGCCAAAGACACGCGATGAACACAAATTAGATAGAGCTACTAAGCATCTAGGGTTGGACGTGGTTTTTAGAGGAAAGGTCAACGCTGAAAGCCTCAAGACGAGGCGAGCTTTTATTGATATGACCCATTCAAGAGTATCCCGTAGGTCTCCATGCCCAAGGAACAGCAGTACAAGCAGCAGACTGAACGTATTCCACAGTCGCGCCTTGCTCCAGAACTATGGCACGCTCCGGAAATGGGGCCTCTTGGTTCCGGTGGAGCCTTCGACTTGCAAGGTGTAACCTACGGACGCCAGGCACTTGGGACTTAGGAGAGCTAATGCGTCATCTACGCATATGACCTCATAACTACTCAGCCGGTTTGTTACCTTCAGGCGATGACACCCTTGTAAGATACAACACGGCACCTGTAAGGAAGAAGGAGGAATGAACTACTCCGTTGGCATAGGATCAAGAGGAGGTACTTTCGGGTAAGGAATATGGGGCTGAGACTAACTTAGCACATCGCATGGCCCTAGGACCCACGCGACCCAAGCGTCGCAGTTTAGATTGTTTGGGCGAACCCTTTACCCAGTTACCTATGCGTATGTATTTATGCTGCCTTCCTGTCGATATCTTTCATCGTAGCTGAGCAAGCGTTATTGTCAGCATGCTTGCTTCCACGCATCACCTTGCAAACGGAACGCTCTCCTTGCTACCATCCACAAGTGCATCTTTCAGCTTAAGTCCTTGCCGAGCAGCCCTTCGCAGTATACTGCTTCAAACCTTTGCCTTCGCAACCCTATTCCATCCAAATTGCGCATCAACTTCCCTCCCACAGGCTGCTTGCCGCGCCCTCCTCCTCCCACCTCCCGCCTGCGTCCTCGCTCCCGAACCCACCAGCTCCCTGTCCCTCAACCGCCACAAGACCCTGGCGACTGCCCTCCTGCGCCTCGCAAGGGCGCCATACAACCACCGCCGCAAGCTGCGCCTCCTCCTCCTTCTCAGCTGCGGCTCCTTCATTACTAACAAGAACAACAGGGTCAAGGGCATCACGGACTGCCACCACATGCGCACGAGCGTTCGCCTCCAAAGCGACCTCCACGTTTCCGGCGTCCGGCGCCCTAGCGGTACCTCCAGCCCTAGGAGCAGCCGCAGCAGCAAAGGGAGCAGCAGCGTCAGCGCAGGCAGCCGCTAGTGCCGGGCGGAGGTGCAGGGGAACGAGGACGTGTCAAGCGTACGGCAGGGGAGGTAGGAAACTGCGCCTATGTTCTGTGTACGGCATGTGTTGGTAGTGATGAGGAGCAACACAATGAGGGATGCGGTACGATGTGATGCGGTGGGTGAAGCGGCGCCTTGTGGTGACGTCGAATAACGCTGGAGGGCGCATCCGAGGGCGCTTCCCCTAGCCGTACTGAATTTTCCTCGGATCGCTGGAGGCAGCCGGAGGCCTCACTGTGTCAGGCTGAACGTCACATCCCCTGCCTTGCCCTTCCAACCCCCCACCCTCCTTCTCCTCTCCTTGTCGCCTTCGTCCGTTGCTTTCCCATCAGTGTCTCTTTCCCCTTCTCTTATCAGCGCTGCTCTCCCTCCTCCCCCCCTGCCCCTCCCCTCCCCCCCGCATGCAGCCTCCTTCCCCCCCTCCTCCTCCTCCCCCGACCCCCCCGACCACTACCGCCTGCTGGGGCTCTCCCCCGACTGCGACGAGGAGGACATCCGGGCCGCCTTCCGCCGCCGAGCCAAGGAGCTGCACCCGGACGTGAACAAGGAGGTAAGGGGGAGAGGGGGTGCTGGGGAGGGGAGAAAAATTATATAAGAAAGGCAAACAACTAAAGAGGGGAGGGGGAGGGGACTGGGGGGGGGGTATGGTATGGTTTGGTGGGGGGAGGGGAGGGGGGAGGGGACTGGGGGAGGGGGAAGGGGAGGGGAGGGGAGCGGGGTGCTGCGGTACCCTAACCCCCCTACCCTTGGTCCCGAGTATGCTCCACCCCAAGGATGCTCTCTCTTCCTCCACTCTCCACCATCCACCTATCTTGGATGTCGGTCGTCTATCTTCGACACTGTCCGGGTTGTGTTTTCCCGGGCAATGGGAACCCCGGGTCTTTCCTTCTTTACCCCTCTTTCCCTCCTTCTCCCCTCCACCTTTTTTATTCTGTTTGCTTTGCCCTAACCTGTGGCTCTCTATGGTATGGTATGGTCTCCGCCCCTCTCCATACAACAAACAACTACAATTATATGCTAACCCAACTATCCAGCCTAATGCGGATTCTGTTTCCAAATTACCCCCTCTCCATTCACTTATCTTGTCTGTTTCCCCCTCCCTCCCTCCCACCAGGATGGCGCCACCCAGGCCTTCGTGGCCCTCACCGCCGCCTACGAGGTGCTGTCCGACCCGGAGGCCAGGCGGCAGTACGACATCACATACCACCACCACCACCGACGGTTCAGCTTCTTCAGGGACGTGCAGGATGTGGACGAGGTGAGGAGCTTTGGGAGGGGGGGGAGGGGGGGGACTCAATCGGTTAGGGCGGCTGTGAGCTGCAGGGTGCATGTGAGGGGGGGGGGTGATGCTTTCCTCCCCTCCCCCGCAGCAGCAGGCAGCATCCGTCGCTGCACTCTGTCCCGTCGCCGGCATGCTTGCAAACCGCTCCTTGACCGCTACCTGGCCTCCCCAAGCCCTCCCACCCATCCCCTTGCGCGAACCCCTACTTTCTATCATCCTAATTCGTTCTCCCCCCTGGCTCGTACGGACACACTGTACCCGAGGTCACATTGTAACTGTAACCGCATCCGCCCTCCTCCGCCCTCTGTCTCCCCCCCCCCTCCCACCCCCCCTCCCACCCCGCCCCCAGGACTCGGGTCCCAGCCCCTTCCGCTGGTCCCGAGTGGGCTCCCAGCGGCACCACCAGCCCTCGGGCGGGGGCTTCACCGCCCCCCGCCCCTTCGACGACGGCAGTGGCGGGGACGAGGAGGATGATGAGGAGGAGGAGGACGACGCGGCGCGGGTAGGCGAGCAGGGGGACGGCGGGTACGGGTCGTCGGACGAGGCGGAGGGTGGGGGCGGCGAGGACTGGCGGCGGCGGCTGGGCGGGCGGAGTCCGGAGGAGTTTCTGGAGGAGCTGGCAAAGTACATGTGAGGGCGGGGGAGATGGGAGGGGGGGATGGGGTAGAAAGGGGAAACTGACAAGCTGCATGACGAGGCTTCACTATGGGGGGAGGAGGGGGGATTGTAGCCTTGTTCATTGTTAGGAAACAGGGTATAGGGAATGGCGAGGAGGGAAGGAGCGAGCTGCAATGCTACTGCCGGGTCGAAGGGGAGGGGTGGGGGCGGAAGGATGTGTAGGCAGGGGGGTGTTGGGACTGCAATCAAAGAACAGGTGTTAAGACTGCGGTTAAGGGACAGGTGTTGAGACTCTGCTCCCCTCCACCACTCTGCAGGTCTGGTCCCGGCGGTGCGCTGCACCGGGGCGGCTGGGGGCGGCCGCACGACCCCTGGGGCACCTCCTCCAGCGAGTCGTGGTTCAAACAGGTGAGGCGGAAAGGGGGGGGTAGGGGGGAAAGGAGGGAGGGGAAGGCGGAGGAAACTGACGAGCTGTGTGTGACATGTAGGCTTCACCATGGGGTGCGTACATGGTATAGCCGGCTACCCATCCCACCCTGCCTGAATGAGTCAACCAGGAGTCCAGAACCCAAACCCGGCTTTCAAACAACTAGAAACAGCGGACTTACCTGTGAGCGGATGGTGGCGGTTGAGGAAGAAAGCAACCGCGCAAGGGGGGCTGAGGGCGGTTCCTCGTCACGCTCCCGAGCCCGCCTCTTCCTTCCCACGGGGCTAACCCCTCCACAGGCCCAGCCCGCGCTCCGCTCTAATGCCAAGCCTCATCTCGCATGGCCCGCTGCTGCCCTCCCCCTCCTCCTCCCTCCCCTCCCTGCCATGTCCAAGGTTGAGAGGCAGACCCGAGATCCGTACGGCCCCGCTCGACCCGGGTACGGCAGATCCGCATCACCCGATGACGAGGACGACTACGGTGACGGCATGGGCGGCAGCACGCGGGAGTGGGGGGCGGGCGGCCCACGGGGGGTGCCGGGATGGAGCCCGCCAGGTGGGGTGGGGGGCGCGGGGGGGGGGGCGGGGTTTGGGGGTAAGGGGTTCCGGGGTTCGAAGCGGCTTTCCTTCCTCCGAGGCTACCTGCTCAAGGTCCACCGGTATCATCGTCAGCCATGCGCCGCTGTGTTCATATCGTTGGTATCGCCCTTGACCCCTCCCCCCTGGCTTGACTAAATGCAATCCTAAAATCCAGCCTAATGCGGAAGATGTATCCCTACCAATCCCCCCTGGTTGGGTCCTTCCTCCAACGCACCCCGTGCACCCCGCCCCGCCCACCCCCAGGTCGCTCCTCCGAGTGGCAGCACCCGCGGCGGCAGTGGGACGAGGAGGAGCGGCGGGGCGGAGGGGGCGGGAGGGGCGGAGGGGGAGGAGGAGGGGGCGACTTCCGCAGGCCATTCAACATATAGATAGGCAGGCAGCGTTGTAGCAGCGAGTGGTTTGCGGTGGTTGTGCATGTGCCAATTTATGTAATGTAGGTAGGCTTGCTTGGTTCTTGTTGATTTGGGTGTGTTGATTGGGTGAACTCGTGGAGAGCAGAAACGTTGCATGACAGGATGAGCAGGAGAAGGGCTTGCAGCGGTGAGGGAGGGAGAGAGGCAGAGCAAAGAGGGGCAGGAGGGCCGGCGGCTGGGGGCGCCTGTGTGCCTACGGTACCCCGGCCTGCTTGGATAGCTTGATGGAGGGAGGCAGCAATGAAGAATGACCAAGCATTACGCACCTGCACCTAGGACCAGAGTGACATGAGGAAGACTGCTGCGGCGCGATGCATAAGTGCACGATGCAAAGCCACAGCGGGGCTGGGCACTGGCGCGGCAAGGAGGCGTGGAGGAGGTCGGTGCGAGGAGAGGGCGGAGGGAAGCAGCGCGCGGCAGGGCAGGTGGTGTGAAGGGTAATGGGCGTCGGTGTGAAGGGGCCTGGGTGATCAGTAACTGTGCCAGGTGGACGGCCCCCCGTTGATTGGTAAGGGGGCGGCGGCTTGTATGCGATTCTTGTAATTGTCCCCCCCCCCGGAGGGTGTTGTCAGTTTTTCGAGTCCAGCAGTCGACTGCTAGACGCGCGCCAGCTAGGGGACCCTTCCCCCACACGCCATAAGATGCATTCGCAGCCAATTAAAAAACCGCCTGCAGAGATCCTTTTCAAACGAAATGGAGCGGCGCAGAGTCTTTGTCCCTTGTACCTGTGCTTGGGGTAGGAGGCCACCTCAGGGAGGAGTCGAGCAATGGGGTAGCATGATCTAAACAATGACACATAGCGATTGCAACAACATGTTAAGCTCTCAAAGCGCTGGAGGAAGGAAGGCGAGTATGATGCCATCTGCAACATCGGGCCCACCTCTTGTGAAATGCGGTTTCGCTTCTACCGAGCCTGCATTCGTATACGCACTCAACTCGATATACTGCCCTGGCTAGGGGTAGATCCGTTCAACATCCAAGCCAGGAATTGTCGACAATGTCGGTAGTCCCGACCGTCCCGGACTGTGCAGACTACATTAGCTTAGGCCCTGGTGGCAGCTATGAAGGCGCATTCCGCAAGTTATGTCACGACTTCACATCTGTGTGAGCATGCTTCGCACGCCATGGGCTAACGAACAGTACCCCGCCAGAGCTGTACTGCATGTCCGCCGTTTGTGGCTGAGGCGCATCCGCCCTTGGGAACAAACTGCCTTACTATATTGTTGTTAGCATGCTATGGTGCTTTTGTAATTGAGCTGTAGATGGGGATCTTGTCCTCGGTTACAGATGTGCGTTCGTAGTCATTACTTTCACTAAACACCCATAGACGCGCAATTCAAATATAGGAAGAGGAACAAGTCGACGCTCTCTTTTATGCTTTAGATTTCTGCCTGTTACGGGCAAATGCTGGACCTAGTCTCAGCGCTACCTGACGCTCGAGAAGGAGTGTGCCGGCTTTCGCAGGTATACGCACATACAATGTTATTTTAGGTTCAATGGTGCTGAAAAGAAAGCGGAATGCAGATGGTTGCTTGCAGCGCGCAAGGGCACGGATTTTGGTTCCCAAGAGGGTTACTGCTAGTCATAATTATGCGTCGAGTAGAGCTCAGGGCCGACGATTGATGGTACAATTACCTAGCGCTTAAGGCGGACTTTCGGGGGTTGATGTTGGCCTGCTCTTACTGTTGCACTGCGCACCTGGTTTGTCTGGCACTCTGCCAAACCCGCAGGTGCTCAGCGGTGTGGTTTCAAATACACGTAGAGCGGATGCGCGCTCTTCGGCCGCCAAGAACTCCTCACCATCGCTTACTGGCGCTGGGACTTATCTGGCCCAGGCCCGTCTGTTGTCCAGCGATGACGCACAGCTTGCACAGGTGTGAAACCATGCGTTCGTTTACATCACGTAGCTCAGTCACGCACACCTGCACCGCTGTGCAACCCTCTATGCGTTCGTTTGGTCCGCCCTTTCAGTTCGGAAGCCTGGCATTTCTCTCCGCTGGCTTCTTTCCCCCAACCATTGCCTCGATGCTTACGATGAACAGTCTGAAAAGGAAACGTCAGGATGTCTAACGCTCGTCTGGCTATGCTCCACATTACCTAAATCCATCCATTCCCCAATCCTTTGATCCGCACAGGAAAGTATAGAGCGGCTTGCCGCTCTCATCGCGCTTGGTCCTCCACGCAGCGCCGACGTTCACGGCTTCACTCCAGTAACACCTGCAGCCGCGCCTGGTGACAAGGATGGTGATGCTGTCAGCGATGACAGCGGCAGCCCCAACGGCCCCGGCGGTCTGGACTCCCTGCCTGAAGCCCAGGCGGAGCAGTACCTCATAGAGGTGTACGGCATGTTGCTGAAGTGTCACGTTCCGGAGGCGCTAGGGGAGCTAGCAGCCCTGGCTGGGGCGGCTCTGTTGGGGCAACCGCAGCAGCTGCCGGGTAGGGAGCAGGGCTGGTCGGCGGGTCGGTGGGTCGGCGGGTCGGTGGGTCGGCGGCTGGGACCGCAGGGCCGTGAGGGAGGACACGGCAGTGGCGGGTGTGGGTACGGGGTAAGGAGGGGAGTAGTCGACCCATTGGGCGGATTGTTTCGTTCGCTTCGTATGTGACAGAGTATTTTCCGGTCGGTTGTCGGTTGTCTTGCCGCAGGTGATGGGTCCGGTGGCGGCGGCAGCCGTTTGGAGGAGCTGCAGCGGCGCAGGTGAGGAGGGGGCCAGGGCCAAGGGGTCAGGCAGGGTGCAGGCAAGGTGCAGCAGTCAGTGTCTCATGAGAGTCCGATTGCCGTACAATCCAGATCTACATATTGTCCTACATGTGGTGCCGTACATGTGGTGCCGTACAGGTCTGTGGAGCTGCGCACCTCGGTGGACCTGTACCTGCATCGCGAGGGCGGCCCCAATCCCGCACTGGCCTCGCTGGAGGGGCTGCTGTGCGGGCAGAAGCTGGGGGGGCACGCGCAGGTGGGGGAGGAGCAAATAAAGAGGGGAAAGGGTAGGAAGTAAAGAGGAAGGACGAACAGGGCAGGTGTATGGAAGTCCGCTGTGCTGGGGTTAGTCTGCACTCTATGTCTGAACTCAGTTATACTATGCTCCTCACCTCCTGCCCTCACCTCCTGCCCTCGCCTCCTGCCTCTCTCCTCCCCTCCCAGGCGCTGCTGGAGAGCATCTGCCAGATGCTGCTGAGCTGCGTGTTCGACCCCATCTGGCGACACAGGGACCTGCTGGCGCAGCAGCAGGTGGGGCGCGGGGGAGAGGGAGAGGGTGCAGGGGAAGGGGAAGGGGAAGGGGGTGCAGGGGAAGGGGAAGGGGAAGGTACTAATGTGCTCTCAGCGTGTGCGCTCCTCCAGACGCTTCCCCCGCTGCCCCACCCACCGCTGCCCCCCTCCCCCCCTGGCTCAGGTTCGCGAGCTGGTTTTGTCGCTGAGCAGCTCGCAGCTGCTGCCCGCATGCGCCCACATGTGCACCCGCCTGCGCGCGCTGCTGGGGCGGCCGCCGGGGCAGGAGGCCGCCTCGCACGCCTGGATGCTGGGGTTCGTGGCGAGGTGCTTCACAGGTGGGGGGGGGCTGGGGTTGAGGGCACACTGGCTGCAGGGCGCTGACACTGACACGGATTCACCGGTAGTAGAAAGCGCTGTGTGTAGTAGGTATAGCGCTTGAAGCCGGTGAGCGAAAACCAAGAGGGGCTGCTGTAGGTGGTGTGGTGGCTTGCACGCATGCGGCTTGCAGGAAATTGCATACAAGGGCATGACGACTTGACAATCAGACCCAGCCTCACTCTCCTCTCTCCTTCGGCCTCACATGTTGAAGCCTCGTCCTACAGCTCATCACTTCCCTCTACCTTCCCCTTCCCTCCCTCCCTCCCTCCCCCTCAGGCCTCGCTCGCTGCATGAAGGCCATGGTGGAGTTCGAGTCCTGCGAGCAGCTGTGGGCGCAGCTGGGCGACACGCTGGCCGCCTCCCTGGCCGCCACCGGCCTGCTGGAGCGCTTCTCCGCCGCCGCAGCCGCCGTACACCCCGGCTACCAGAGCTGGTGGCCGCCGCCGCCGCCGGGGAGCAGCAGCATGCCGGGAGGAGGAGGAGGAGGGGGAGGGGCGGGAGGTGGGCAGCGACAGATGGGGGAGACGTATCTGGAGATGTGCGGAGCGGTGGAGGTCTTTTTGGAGGTGAGTGGGGCGGGGGGGGAGGGAGGGCGGAGGAGGAGGAGGAAGGGGGAGGCTGGAAGGGGCAGGCTTTAACCTAACCCTCCTCCCTTCCCGGCCCCTTCTTCTCTGCTAGGGCCTCTTCCACCTCACCTGGCACCACACCGCGCGGGCCGAAGCAGCTGCCGCCGCCGGCCCCCCTCCGCCGCTGCTGGTCCGCGACGTGCTGGCCGCCATGGAGCCCGAGGGCAGCGGCAGCGTGGCCGACATGCTGTCCAGGAAGGCGGGGCTGCTGCTGCTGGCGCCGCTGCGGCTGGCGGGGAACAGCGGCCAGCAACAGCAGCAGGCGACGCAGCAGCAGGCGGCAGCGGCGGCTGCCGCCGCCGCCGCCGGCGGGGCCTTCGGCCCCGGCGCCGGCGCCCTGTCGGGCTACTCGCTGTCTTGCCCGCTGTGGCCGGCTCTGCTGAGCGGCGGCTTCACGCACGGACTGGCGGCGGACTGGCTGGCGCATGTGGTGGCGCGGCTGGATGGCGGGGAGGTGCTGATGGGAGGAGGAGGAGGAGAGGGGGGGTTTGTGGTGAGCCGGGCGACGCCGCTGCTACACCAGCCGGGGTGAGTGAGGAGGGGTGCAGGGGGAGGGGGCGGTGGTGGTGGTTGCAGCGGGTATGTGGATGGGCGGGGATGGCTCAGCCGGACAGGAAGCGCTGGTGTGCATGGGAGAAGGGATGCCGGGGTGTGGGGAACTTGAGCGGGGTGGGGTTGGGAGCGGGCGCAGGTGCCGGGGTTCAAGGGGTTAAGCAGAGGAAACTGACGAGGTGTAGAACGAGGCTTTGCCATGGGTTGCTACACCCCCTGGTCACGGTGAGTGGTTCCTCGCGGCTCAGTTTACCTAATCCCCCCATGCCCCCCCCTCCCCCATGTCCCCCCCATGCAGCCCTGTGGACCGGGTGGAGCTGCCGCTGCTGCTGTCCGTGTGTCTGGCGGCCGCAGCAGCGGGCGGACACCACTACATCACACATGCAGGCAACAGCACCACCACCAACAGCAACATCAGCAACAGCTACATGGGCGGCAGCAGCAATGGCAACCGCCGCCGCTCGATCGAACGACCCGTGGGTCACTCGGCGTCGTTTCCCTCTGCCGCCGCCGCCGCGCTGCAGCAGCAGTACCAGCAGCAGCAGCTGCCTGATGCGCTGCCCGCCATGACGGCTGAGGAGCGGGTGCAGTGGCAGTGCGCGCATGCGGAGCGGCTGCTGAGGCTGGTGGTGCGGGGGCTCAAGGTGGGTGGGGGGGTGGGGGGGGTGGGGGGGTGGGTGTAAAAAGAGGAAACTGGCGAGCTGTATGACGAGACTTTACCATGGGTTGGTAATTGAACCCGGCCCAACCGGGGAGGGGAGACTGAGGCGAGGACAGCGGGCTAGGGGAGGAACCACCTGTGCTAGGCCGGGGGGGGGCGTGTTGTAGATAGGACACTGGGCGCCAATCACCCGGGGCACCCAGTGCAAGTGTGGAACGACAACGTCCCGCTCCCACTCCCGCTCCTGGCCGCTGCTGCCTGCGCGGACATGTGCATGCGTCACCAGCTCACCACCGCACCTAAACGCCATCCGCCCACTCCTCTATCCGACCCTCCCTCTGCCCTTTGCCCACCACCCCCACCCCACCACCCCCACCCTGTCTGACAGGCCATGGCAGCCAGCCAGGATGCGGAGCTGGCGCCCTTCCCCGCCATACACGCCGCCCACTCCTGCGCCGTGGCGCTGCACCAGCTGCTGTCGGAGGTGAGCGGAGGAGGGGGAGGAGGTGGAGGAGGAGTGAAACCCTGGATAGCCCCAATGCCATTGAGGGGTTGACGGGGCTTATCAAAGGGCTTCACGGACGGAGTTGTTAGTGTAGCATGGTTGACTACCGGTGTTAGGCCGCGAAAAGAAGCCAGATGCCTTGTGCGTCATCGGCTGTGATGCAAGGGGTGTCAGAGGTGAGGAGAAAGCCGGGATGAAGCGGCCTTTGCTTGAAGCTGTCCTGCCTGCTGCGAGGGTGCGCATGCTGCCTGGAGCACCGGATGTGGGTGCCATGTGGGTACCATGTGGGTACACTCCTTTGTTGGTACCATGTTGGTACACGCGGCGTGCTCCTTCTTCTGCCGCTTCTATATCCCCGCGCCCACCCATTCTCTCTCCTTCCTCTCCCCCTTCTCGCCCACCCCTGCAGGCCAACCCCTCCACCAACGGCACCCCAAGGTGCAGCGGCGAGTGGGCCGAAGGATCCTCCAAGACGGCTGCTGCTGCTGCTGCCGGGGCGGCTGCTACCGCTGCTGCCGGCGGTGGTGCTGCCGCTGCTGCTGACCTGAGCGCCCGGCGTGGCACCTTCTGGCCCTTCGCGCCGCCCCCGCCCCCGCACACCGCCCTGCTGCTAGACGCATTCCAGGTGGGTGGGTGGGTGGCTGGGTGGGTGGCTGGGTGGGTGGGTGGATCGATACACAGGTGCCTGGGGCCATCACATGTGGGACCACGCATGGGGCTGAGCACCGGGGTGCGAGCTGGCGTTACCCATACCCGCTGCCGCTCCTCCAGTTTTCTCCCCTCCCCTCTCATCCCTGCCGGCCCCCCCTCTCCCCCCCTCCCCCTCAGGCCTCCCTGCTGTGCTACTCCGCCTTCCTGCACCCTGACCCCGACAAGGACCCGCTCACGCTGCGGGCGGTGGAGCGCTGCAGCGAGCAGCTCATGGAGCTGTGTGCGGCCACCGGGGAGGGGCTGAGGACAGGTGGGAGGGGGGGCGGGGGGTGTGTGTGCGGCCAGGTGGGGGCGTCTGATGGAAAGGGTGCTACCGTAGAAGGGCATGACAGAAGAGGAGACATTAGCCCCCTAGCAGCCGCCTGCCGCCCCTCCGGACCCACGCCGTACCTCTTCCGCCCTTCCCACCGCCACCACTCCCTTTCCCCCCCTTGAGTTGCTGCACTCCTCATTTATCCCCCCCCGGCCCCTCCCCGGTCCCCAAGGTGTTGCTGCCCTTGTGTACGCCTCCCGTCACGGCCTGCTGCCGGTGTTGGAGGCGGTGCTGCGGGCGGCGGGGCTGGCCTGCCGCATGGAGAGCCTGCGGGCGCTGCTGACGGCGGCGCTCAGCTCGCTGCCGGCGCTGCAGCAGCTGCTGCTGAGCAGGGACGGGTACCTGTTCCTGACGCTCAGGAAGCTGGTGGGTGGGGAGGGGAGAGGCGGGGAAGGGGAGAAGGGGCCGGAGGGGTGTGGATTGGGTACGGCATTTTGGCATGTACTGCCGTACTGTGTACGCGCTTCCACTGAACTGGAATCGTGTTTCTAGCTATGGGAAAGCTGCTGCTGAGGCGGTTGAGGCGGTGAGTGGTTGGGATGCATGATGGCAGTGATCGTGGCATCCAACCACGAGCTGAGGCCTCTTCTTCCCATCCCTCCCTCCCCTCCTTAAGGAACGCTTGTTCATAGGCGCAGGCCCCTTCTCACGCATCCGTTCCTCACCTACTCTCCTGACCCAAGCTCTCTTCACCCCCCCTCTCTTTCCCTCCCTCCGCAACCCCCGCAGATGATTGCCTGCATCAACCTGGCCTGCCCGCATCCCCTGGAGTCCTCCCAGGCCCCCGCCCCGCCACCCAACTCCCGCCGCAGCCTCACCCTCATCCTGCAGCAGTACAAGAGCAACAGTAACGGCAACAACGGTGCCTACAACGGTAACGGTAACGGCGACAAGTACCGTATTCCAAGCCCCAACCGAAGGAGCCCCTGGCCAGCGGCGGACAGCAGCAATGGCGCAGGAGATGAGGCCAAGCAGCCGTCAACGGAGGGATCTGCTTCCGCCTCCACCTCCGCCTCCGCCTCTACCTCCGCCCGCAGCAGCAACGGCAGCCGTCGTAACAGCCTGCAAGGCCGACCGTTGATCCTGCCGCTCGCCGTAGAGTTGGTGGATACGGTTGCCATGCTCGCGGCTCGCTTCATTGAGATACACGAGGGCCGAGTGGCGGCGGCGGCGAACATCCGAGTGGACGCCATGGGCAATGTCATCATCAAGGGCTTCGGCGGCGCCACCGCCGCCGCGAGCGACGACGACGGCATTGACGACGGTCGCTCGTCGGCGTCGTCGAGCGCTTCGACTGCCTCGGCTTCGTCGTCAATGGAGAGTCGGCGGCGCTCGTTCGAGCGAGAGGCGTCGGAGCTACTGCCGCTAGCGCAGATACTGCCGTTTGCACTGAAGTGGCTGGCGGCGCCCGCTGCGGATTTAGTGGACGCGTTAGCTCAGGAGGTCATTAATGACGACGGCAGTGGCAGCTTGTACGGCGGAGGCGGTAGCGACGGCGGTAGCGGTAGTGACGGTGACGGCGGCGACTCGCAGACGCCGCCGGCGCCGGAAGTGCGTCGTCGGATGTCAGTGGAGCTCAGTCGCGCGGGTTTAGCGACGACGGGAGTCGGCGGCGGCCGACCCACGGGTCATCGGAGCAATGTTGGGGTCGTTGGGAGTTTGCCAAGCAGCGCCGGTCTTGCCAGCGGCGGCGGCAATAGCAACGGCAAGCTGTCGCCGGAGGCTGTTGCAGCTGCTGCTTGGACTCGACCCGGCGAGCGATCTGCAGTCGTGCTGGGTCGCTGTTCGGATGCGCTGCACATGCTGTTCAGACTGATGGTAACGCTGACGGATCTGAACCGTCGCGCGCCACACCCCGACTGGCCGGCGCTGATTGCAAGTCTCCAGCCTCAGCAGCTGCTGGCTAGGGCCGTCCAGGTGGGTAGATGAGGAAGCGTGGGTGGAGGAGGGTTGTAAACAGCGCTCTGGATGTGTTTATTTCAGGGCTCACATTCTGCAGTGTGGCGTTTTGCGTCCTCTTCTCCTTTCACTTCATTCACGCATCCTCCCACTCCTCTTAGAAGCCCTCCCTACCTTCCGGACCCCAACCCAACCTGTGACTGCCTATGGTTCGGTCTTTACCCCACCTCCTCCGCCCCCCCCCCTCCTCCCGCCGCCAGGTGCTGGTCCACGGCATGCACCGCCAGCAGCAGCACGCCCCCGCCTCCGCGCACCCCCACCACCGCGGCCGCCGCTCCCGCCTCGCCCACCCCGTGCTGCTGTCCAGCCTGCTCTCCGCCTCCGTGTGCGGTGTGCAGGCGGGCTGGCTGGGGCCGGAGAGCTTCGGCATCCCCTCCGCCTCCGCGGCACCCGCAGACGATGACGACTGGCCGCCAACACAACAGCCGCCAGCTCCGCCCACTCAGTCCATCGCGCACAGCCCGCAACAATCGGGCCCCACAGGAGCAGGAGGAGGAGGAGGGGGTGCGGTGGGAGCGGGAGGAGGAGCGGCGTACGGGCCGCTGTTCAGTCGGGTGAGGCGGTTTACCGTTATCTCTGCGAATCCGGAGGGTCGCGCGTACCAGTGGGCCATGGTCGGCGACGACGAGCGGCATGAGGGGCAGTGCATCTTGGAAGGGGAGGAGGAGGAGGAGGATGGGGCAGCGGATGCAGGTGGGGATGATGGCGACTGTGGGGCGGATCATGAAATGCGCGAGAGGCATCGCCCTGGACAGCACCAGAAACAGAAGAAGCAGCACCCCCAGTACCAGCCCCAGTCCAAGGAGCTGCTGGGAGGGCGCAGCAAGCCTCCGATGTTGCTGCCCGCCGCGGCGCCCGGAGGGGCCTGGTCCGACCTGCCGCCGCTGCCTGGGCCCGCTGTGGTGCCCACACGCGCCCTGCAGGTGGGGGGGTCGGGTGAGGGAGTTAAGGTAGACCAAACCATAAGAAACCGCGAATTGAGGGCAGAACAAGGAGGGAAAGAGGCGGCAGGGGGGCAAGCGGTGTGGGGTCGGGATGGGGGAGCTGCAGAGGAGGGAAGAAAAGGAATGATTTCTTGGGTTCTCTCCGCAGTATTTCTGACCAAGCGCACCTGGGTCAAAGAATTGTACTGTCATATACCGTACTTCTGCCTCACGCCGTACAGCATAGAGTGTATTACACACACACATCCCGGTTATGCGGTACAGTTTACTCGCACATCGCATCCACTCGTGGCCAGTTTTGCGAACACACCGCACCACCAACCACCCTGCCGCCTTCTGCACCCATGTCTTTGCCCTAACTTGTGGCTTAGGCTATGGTCTGGGCTTTGGGTATTTCAACTCCCTTCCCCTCCCATGCACGTAGGTACTGGTCTCCGACTACGGTTCCGCCGCGGACCAAGTCCTCTTCGACCTGCTGCTGCGCGGCCTCGCTAACAAGCGCCCCGCCACCGGCACCTCAACCGCTGCCGGCGGTGGCTCCAGCAGCATCAACAGCGGCCCCGCCGCCAATCCCTCGCACCAGCAGGGGCAGGGGCGGCAGCAGGCTCAGCAGGCGGAGGGCTCAGAGCCGCCCGTCTTCTTCTGGACGCCTCCCTCCCGCAGCCTGCATCTGCGCACCTGCAGCAACCCCTGCTGCATGAACCTGTCAGGGCTGGCGGAGGGGCAGCTGCGGCTGGCGTCGTGCCCGCGGTGTGGCGGCGAGTGGTACTGCAGCCGACACTGCCAGGCCATGCACTGGCACACGGGGCACCGGAGCAGGTGCGCCAAGTGAGCAGGAGGGGGTTTCCGAGATGTACCAGAACCACAGGAGAGTGGGGGAGTTGGATGGAGAGGAGGGTGAGGGGAGAGGGAGGAAAGCTGTGTGGGAGCCGGTGGGTGTACTGCGTGACAAGGTACTGAATACGTGGCGTGGCGAGTTGTAGAGGCGGGCAGAGATGGAGGGTAGAAACCGGGGAATTAATGCGTGAGGGAAATGTGGGTTAGGGAAACTGAGTGGCAGAAGGCCCTGCTGGGTGCGGGATGCGAGTGAAGGCGACTAAGCCGGGCGTGTTCTCTTTCACTTACCCGGGTTCCGGGTTTGGTGACTGCCAGCTGGTTCGTTGGGCGTTGTGTGCCATTGGAGTGAGCTCAGAGCGAGGGGACTAAGGGGTCGCCTTGTGTCAATGTCAGTGTCTTGCGACGTCATCCGAGGCCTTACCTGGCAGAACCTGGTTAAGCGTGTCGTTACAAAGCACGGCTAGTTTAGCCGGGTTGCCGGTAGTACATGGTTTTATAGCGTCGAGTAATCGAAAAGTGTCCCGCACGCCGCACGCTCTAGCAGCGCGGACAGGAGCGTTGGCCACAACCCCTGAAAGCGCGGCTGCTCGGGTGATCGGGGAGGCGGGCGCTCTTGGCAGCTGCGCTCCCCTGCTGGCTTGTTGGCCCCATGTTGGTTGGTTGGTGGTCTTGAATAATTAGGGCCCTGGGCGCTTTACAGTGGCTTTGCTTTATTGCATGCATGGCTCGCTTTGAGCTGGCAAGCAGGACACAGTGCGTGGCGCTGCGGGTGCGTCGGGGCCTGATAGATGAGCAGCTCTATACACATGTACGGTACGTATGTGCTCATTCGGGTTTATTCGGTACGTTCTTGGGCGCCTCATTGGCCTCTAGGACCTCGTCCGTTTCTGTCCCCACATGGTGTAGGGGTCTCAATCTCGCAATACATGTAGCGTGTTGAAGTACGGCCAAAGGATGCTATTACTCGTGGGCCCCCCCCTGGTGTGTTAAAATAACTGGTGTGTGCGTGTGTGTCCAATACATGCGGGAAGAGTGTGTGCTGTGGAGCAGTTGCATGGGGCAGCGCGGATGCGAAGGCGCTGTCGTCCTGTGTTTAGGCGCCCCAATGCCTTGACGCTGAAATAAGCTATGTCATCTACAAACATGCGAGATTTTGATATGGGGCGCGATGCGTGCATGCTTGCGTGGCGTCGTTCATCCGATCGCAATAAACTCTGGCACTACGAAGGACCGGGATGAAGAGCGGAGGAAGAGGTCAGTCTTCACGCTAATGGCTGGAGGGGGGGTTCTCCTCCTGCCATGTGTACGTGTTGCCAGGCGGGAATGTAAGGGGCATGTCGGTGCTGTCGAGGAGTTGAAATAAGGAGGAGACGAGGCTGAGGTATGAGTCGGTATGTGACGTGGTGAGATGAAGTGGACGGGGTTTCATGGATTGAGATGAGGCTGCGGACGTGTGGAGGGCAGAGAAGAGGCGAGGTGGGTGCTACAGTTGTTGTTACGTGATGCGTGCTGGCGTGCAGTTGTACATGTTGGTATTGCTGCGGCTGGTGCTTGAGCGTCACGAGCGTCGTGTGTGGGCATTGGTCGTGCAGAAGGGGTGCCGGTTGTTTGTTTTTATTAACTGCGGTGTCTTACAACATCCCACGTCAGGGGAGTGCGTGTGTCGCCGTTGAGTCGGTGATGGTTGGGATACCCGCTGTTCCTGTAACAGTACGGCAAAAGACAAAGCACACCTCGTGTACAACACGTTGATGTGTTCTTGTGGTGTCCTTTTAAACGATGCCTTGGTCGAATGCGGTTTCTAGTGGCGTTGATGGTATCGGTTCTTCATGGTTCCTCCCAGCGTGTGCCCCAACGTTTACCGGCTACTTGAGGTGTGGTGCAGAAAGATATTGGAAGAACTGCTTGCGCGCTGGAATGGAATGGTTGTTATGTACATGTTGCACGGTGCTCGGCTTACGGGCGGAAGCAATAAGTTATAAAGCACTAACTTGTGACTCGTGGGTGCCGTCCGGTTGCTTGCTTGTTTCGTAGGTACAGATCTGCTTCTGAGATGTTATCGTATGATTGTCTTTGGTGTGCCGGGAAAAAGGTGTATGTTTGTGCTCCGAGCAGCTGTAGGGTACTTGTTTGCAGTAACATTCCGCGTGCATCTAACTCCAGAGTCGTGTCGTGGAGGGCTCAAGCGGAAGCGTAACCCCCCGACAATGTTCCTTAGTGCTGTGTGCCCTTGTTGCCTTCATAGATTGCTGCCCAAGGTTTGCAACAGCCTGGGTATAGCCGTGGTGGTATGTCTTGGATCATTACTTACTTGTGTGAAGCGATAGCGCGAGCCTCCCGTGCTGCTGCACGCTCGTGCGTGTTGTCTGCACGCTCTGTTGCCTTACCACGGGCGGTGCAACGGGAGGCTGTAAGGTAGTGCAAGAGGAGGGAAGCGACAGACCCCGTGAGCACTTGAGCCCACCGGTACACAGTCAACCATGATCGAAAATGGTCTGTGGCGTAATGTGGAGGATGGAGTTGGATTTGTGGTGTATGAGATGGAGTGTTGAATCCAGGGCGTTTTATAATTGGAGAGCGGTGGCGTTTGGGGTGGGGGTGACCTGGAAAGTGGTGAGAACCAGTTGCCTAGTGCCGGTACAACCCCTGGCGAAGCGCCTTTGTGCCCTGTGGCTGCGTCATGTAGGTTCTCTCGCAAGTCTGGGATCCGCAGAGGGGATATGCGTCGTGAAGGTACATGGATGTAGTACAAGTGCAGGTATGCAGTACTGGCTGACTGATCATAGCCTGTGATAGCCCTGAAAGAGTTGGCATAAAGGTTTAGTAGTGCGATATATACTGACAAAGTGCATCTCATTATGATGTAAGATGGCATACCGGTAGCCTCGCGCTGCGTCAAAGCAAACATGTTCAGAAAGAAGCAGACCCGACCATACCTAAAGGTCTGCACACAATGTCACGGTAAAGGACAAACAAGCCACTTTAATACCATGCAGGAAAAGAAGTATGGTAGGGTCAAACCACGGCAACGTTAGCAATCGTTCGCTCTAGGAGCAAACCCAGCGGTAATACCAAGCCACCTTGGGGTAACGTTTACAGGTTGCTGCAAGAAATGTACTGTAGGAAGCTTGCCTAACGGAGGTGCGGAGATGGTTAGTCGAACCGCTGATTATGGTCTCTTCACTATACGCGCTCATAGTGAAGCATCAACAACATGCAGGACTAGGTGTTACTCTGAAGTGCACCTGCCAGGAGTTATCTGCAACTTACGAATACGTTCGCTTAGGCGACCTGTCGTACCTGAAAGGCGTGGACCATGACATCAGTCAAGGCCTAAAGGTGAAGACGCGCCTAGGGAGCGCATGTTGTGGGGAGGTCCAACAAACCATGCTGCACAGGGTTGCTGTGGGATTAAAGAGTAACCAGGCGCCGTTTGACGTGTTCCCCAACTCCTCCTTCAGAGCTTCCAATCTCAGCTGGGCAGTGATGGGACAGCGACCTGCATCATGTGCGATTGCGGAGCCAGGTATGTGCAGCTGGCTTAGTCATTTGTTTGCTGGGGCTTTCGTACTACCACGTGCCTGTCCTCATACTCCCCCTTCCACGACCGTAACCCGACCAGTCCCAACCATCTCCCCCGCCACCCTGCGCTCCCTTCTGTTCATCCCATGTTCTGGTACTATACGAACCTGTACCTTGACTCCTCGGAAACACTAGGTTCACTTTTCATTTATTTCCCTCTGATGCCAAGGAAACATAACTCTTTTGCACACTTTACGGCTCACAGCACCCCCTTGCCCCTTAAACCTGACTTTCACCTCACCTCCTCTTCCCCAGGTATCTCATCCAGGAGTTGGGTGAGCGGCGCAAGATCCGCGGGGAGGCGAAGGCCAACCCGGAAGACAAGGAACACAACAAGCGCCTTGCAGCAGAGCTTGCGGCCCGCGGTATCGCACGGGTGCTACGGCGCTGCCCCGCGCCCATGGCTCAGCTGCAGGAGGGGCAGGACGGGCTGGTGCGCAGGTGAAGAAGTAGCAGCAGCGGTGGAGGTGGAGTAGTCCGACAGGGCGCGAGGCGAGGTGTGCGAGTTTGGAATGGAGGGGAGAGGAGTGTGGTTTGCGCTAGGATCAGAGCAGTGTAAAGGAGCAGGACATGACGTGTAAGCAAGGGGTAATATGGCGTGAAGCATTAGAGTGCAAGAGTTTGGGAGGCTAGCAACATGTGTGCACTTCTCGGGTGCTCTGGGGGCATGGCACTACACGTGTAAGTATGCAGACGAGTAAAGGCAAACCCAACTGTGGGCTGGGCATGGTAATGCCATGGTTTGTGTCCTGTGCGAAGGGCATCGAGCCTGTAGAGGCGCTCATGCGGGCCGTATTCAACTGTATATGGTTCTAAAGTATACTCAAGCTTCTTGCAGAGTTATTAAAGGTTTGCTCCTTTCAGAAAGGCTGAGAGATATATAGGCCCCAGCTTTTGCTCCGGAACTTAACCGCGACCGCAGACTTTTTGCCGCCTAGCAAGTAGCAATCCATAGCACTATGACCTTCCTCTAAGATATCTGGGGCATTGTAGAGGGCGGTAAGGCTGAAGGAAACCCGTGCCGTAAGCATGCCCTAATCGTGGAGTCGTCAAACAATACAGGTATCCTAGATTACTACCAGTGATTCAACATGCAGACCTTTGTACCACCTGTAAAGGAAGCGAAAATTTTATGCTGCTTATATTGTTGAGGAGGAGGGAAACTAGGGAAGAGTGATGCAAGCGTACTGTACGGATGCGTCAGCATTGACAGCAGGAGGAGATACTCATCTGCAAAACCCTACGAACTGGTAAACGTTAAAGCTGACACACAGTTGACACTAAAGCTAAACCGCTAAAGCCTATGTTTCCTTGCCTTGCGAAACCTACCCGAAGTGTCGACATAATTGCCAAGACTTTTAGGCTGATAAGGAGGGCACAAACTATTGTTTAGTCGTCGTCATCTTTTCGTAGGACCGTAGCAAGGACAGCAAGCAATATGTCGATTCGGATGTCGGGCGTGGTCCGAGTGCAAGCTCCGAGAGAGCCGGAACACTTGGCTCAGCCGTGCCCATACAAACGTAAGTCGCATGTTTATGGGTAGGGGAGACCGGTCATCTATCATCTTTTAGTCTCGCAGCTGTCCATGCAAGCACCTTTGGGGGCCTTGATATCGACGCTTGCAGATAAGGTATGTTGTATGTTAACATACAACATACAGGGTTACCTTATGGACCCACGACGTTCGGTATGCTGAGGAACCTTCCAACTGTCCATGCTGTGCTGCAGGCAACCGCCTCGCACGTCTCACGCGCGTATGCGTCCGGGCAGAGGCGCCCCGCGATAAGGGAGTAAAAAGCCCCACCGCTGTATTAAAGGAATTCTTTGTTCGCGAGGTAAGTCTGTCGGACATGTGTTTGTAGAAGCAAAGTTCAGGCCATAAACCCGTGTCGTTATCATTCGCCAGGAAGACGGCCTGTTAGTGATCCTCTCTCCAACCCTTAGGCCCGCATCACTGTCCCGCAACTGTTACAACCTCCCTCCAGCACACTTCTCCTATCATCCCGCTCGCAGACTCCACACCGACTCATTTCCCTTTCCCTCCTCCTCTTTCCCTCGCAGCCTGTCATTCCACCAACCTCCTCATCCTCCTCCTCCTCGACCTCCATAGCTCCAAAACCCAAGCCTTCTCCTCCACCTCGTCCCCAGCCCTCCCCGCCCGCTCAGCCGCAGCGCTTCCCCGGCCCCGGCGACCCTGCATGGCCCCCGCAGCGCCCCTTCGCCGCCGTGGCCCTGGACAACCTGATCGACTCGTTCGTGGACATCGGCCGCCACGTGCGGCGCATGAGTCTTGCCGAGAAGGAGGAAACAGGCACGCTAGAGAAGGGCGAGCTGGTGCCGGGCTCCAACGGCCGCATGCGCCTGCGCTCCTCCTCCCGTCCCGTGCTGCTGGTGTTGGGCAGCGGCTGGGGCGCGCACTCGCTGATCAAGGTGGTTGACACGGAGCTGTACGACGTGGTGGTCGTGTCGCCGCGCAACCACTTTCTGTTCACGCCCATGCTGCCCGCCACGGCGGTGGGCACCGTGGAGTTCCGCTCGCTGCTGGAGCCCATCCGCACCGCCAACCCCTGCGTCACATACCTGGAGGCGGTCTGCGAGGAGATCGACCCGGAGGGTGAGGGAGGCAGGAGGGGGAGGGGCGCAGCAAGCCAGTAGCATGCGTGTGGCGTGCTGCTGGGTTTCCACGGCCTGGTGTTGCCCCCGTCAATATGGTGCTACCGACCGAGCCCCTCACCCCTCAGCCCTCACCCTCTGCTGCCGTACGTTGCCTTGACCTCCCCAACACCCCAACCTGGCCTCCTGTCTTTCTCCTTCCCGCACCCGCGCAGCCAAGGTGGCGGTCTGCACCTCCACCTTCGCCTACGATGACGGCAGGAAACCGCAGTTTGAGGTGAGCAGGGGAGGCAGCAGCAGCAGTAGGGGCGGCGGGTAGGGGGTGCATGAATCCTGTTACTTGTTGCTTGGAACAGCTCAAATACAAGCTTTACAGCAGCTCGATAACAGCTCAATTCCACATTGCTATTGCTGTGGTAGTTGCTGCCGTTGAGTAAACATGCTGTGAAATGTGAGGCTGCTGATCGGTATGCACCTGCGTAGTGCACACGCGTTAAAACGTGCCTTGTCCATTGATGCTGCTGCTGCTGGGTCTCAGATGTACCGACCCCCGCCTTCTGTAAGTTGCTGCTGCCATCCCCCCGCCCCTCGCTCTCCACACGCACATACAGATCCAGTACGACAAGGCGGTTGTGGCGGTTGGCGAGCAGGCCGCCACGTTCGGAGTGCCGGGTGTCCGGGAGCACTGCTGCTTCATGAAGGGTGAGGGGGGGGGCATGGGGGGGCAAGGGGGAGGGGGTGCGGGGTGGTGGCTGATGCGCACCGGGGGCTTCCATGTAGTACGCCTCCGTCCAGGCGGCGGATGCCTCGGGGGTTATGGCAGGGTCTGGGATGGTTATGGTACGGCGGACAGCCGGTGTCAGGCGCCTCGCTTCCTCCTACCCCGAGCAATGCCCCCCTCCCCTCCCTTCCCTCCTCGCCTCCCCTCCCCTCCCAGAGGTGTCTGACGCGGTGGGTCTGCGCGCCCGCATCGCGCAGCAGTTCGAGCTGGCCAGCCTGCCCGGCACCTCGGCGGCGGAGCGGCGGGCGGCGCTGAGCTTCGTGGTGGTGGGCGGGGGGCCCACGGGGGTGGAGTTCGCGGGCACGCTCAGCGACTTCCTGAGGGAGGACCTGCGCCGCAAGTACCCGGGGCTGGTGCAGCACGTGCGAGTGACGCTGCTGCAGGTGGGGGGGCCTTGGCAGATCAGGTCACGGAGTGTGTGCGTAGAAGGTATACGGGTTGAAGGCCACGGGCATTGCAAGCGGCCATTCCCATCTCGCCCTGCCTTCCCTCCCACCCAACTAGCGTTAATTCACCAGAGGCTTTCGCCAACGCTGGGATACCCCTATCGTTTACTGCATGCTTTTCCTTTCTTTTCCTCCCACCCCTTCTCACCCACGTTTGGCTCGGTTAACCTAATCCCCTCCCCTCCCACCCACCCACCCACTCCCTCCCCTCCCACCCACCCACCCACTCCCTCCCCTCCCACCCACCCCCTCCCTCCCCTCCCACTCCCTCCCAGAGCGCCCAGTCTATCCTGACCCAGTTCGACGAGGGTCTGGGCCGGCAGGCGATGGAGACGCTCACTTCCTCGGGGGTGGAGGTGCGCACCGGGGTGCGCGTGGTGGAGGTCACGCAGCGAGAGGTGAGGCGGGAGAGAGGGGTGAGGGGTGAGGGGAGGAGGGACGGGGAGAGGGACAGGGGAGGGGAGGGGAGAGGGGAGGCGTGCGGGAGACGGGAGGGGGAGAGGGGTGGAGTTAAGCGCAAGGAAGCGAGTCAAGGGAAGGGTTTTGACAGCGGAGCGTGTGCGTATGCTCCACATAGGCACGGTGGTTCTTTGGGTGGCATGACATGATAGCCCAATCGTGCGGTATGGGCGCATGTGTCCGGAGCGAGCAGTATGAGTGGGGCAAAGGTGCGGTGAGGGCTCCTGAACGCCTCCTCATGCACCCGCACCCGCACCCGCACCTGCACCCGCACCTGCACCCCTCCGTCCGCCCCTCCGTCCGCCCCTCTCACATGCTGCCCCTTCTCTTTGACATGTCCCTCCCAACAGGTTCTCCTCGAGGGCGGCGAGCGTCTGCCGTACGGCGTGTGTGTTTGGTCCGCCGGCAACGCCCCCCGCCCGCTGGTCTCGCAGCTGTGCTCCCGTCTGCCCGCCCAGTCCTCCGCCGCCGCCTGCTGCGGGTTGCGCCCCGGCAGCAAACTGGCGGTGGACTGCTTCCTGCGCGTGGTGGGCGCGCGGGAGCTGCTGGCGCTGGGGGACTGCAGCGCGCTGCTGGCGGGGGGCGGAGGGGGCCGCCTGCCGCCCACCGCGCAGGTGGCGGCGCAGCAGGGGGCGTACCTGGCGCACCTGCTCAACAGCGGGCACTGCACGGGGGAGGGCGGGTATGCCAGCCCGCCGCCCTACAAGCTGGTGCGCAGGAACAGGATACAGGTAGGGGGGGAATGAGCGGGTGGAGTGGGAGGGGGAAGGGGAGGGAAGGGTGGATGAGGGGTGGGGTGATTGGGTGCTTACTTTGCTTCGGTTATCCGGTTATACCGAACGCCGCCCCTTGCCCCTATGTACCACCCTCCTGCGGGTGAGGCACTACGGCCTTGTCCGCCCACACGCCCCCCCTCCTCCTTATGCACCCAACACCCACACACACAGCCTCCCTCCTGCCCCCCACACCCCGCTTCCTGCCCCTGCCCCACCCTGCCCCTCCTCCCCCCCTCCCCCCAGACCGCCACCGACAACAGTGCGGCGCTGCAGTGGCTGGCAACCGCCATGATGGGCGGCGGGGCGCGGCTGCGGGTGGCGCAGCAGGTGGGAGGGGGAGGGGGTGCATTGTGGGAGGGGGCGGAGCTAGCGGGTGTTGAAGGGTGCCCAAACAACCCATTGGCCATGTCCTCCTTCCGTTCGGGGTACCTCCTGCCTTTCCGGCTGCTCTGCCCCATTCGGAACCCCCTGCTGCTCGCCCCCTCGCCCCTCAACCCCCCTGCTCACCCCCTGCCCCCCCCGCAGGTGTCTGACGCGCTGCTGAGTGAGGAGGCGCCTCCCTGGATTCGTGACCACAGCCAGGACCTGGCGGCCACAGCGGCAGCGGCAACGGAGGAGCAGCAGCGGCAGACAGGCGGCAACAGCGGCAGCAGCGGCAGCGATGTGCTGGAGGTGCGCTACTGGGAGCGACCCTTCGAGTTCCTGAACCTGGGAATCATGGCGTACCTGGGTGAGTGGGGGAGGGGGAACGGGGAGAGTGGTGGAGGAAGGGAGGAGACGAAGGTTGGGATTAGGTAAACCGAGCCGCGGAAATGGGTGGAGGGTTGGGGTGGTGGTTTGCGAGACCGACGGGGGTAGGAAAGCGGGCATTGGTGGTAAGATGATGTCTTGGACTCGTTCGAGGGGAAAATCCCGCATTGCGTCAAGTTCCCTGTCTGTTCTGTGTCGCCTCTCTAATGCAAGCGTCCCCCTTGGTGACCCGTGGGCCACCCACTGTGCAAACCCCGGTACACATACAAATGCCCACCAACCGAACCCCTTCTTACCCTTACCCCTTTTACCTGCCCGTCCTCACCACGTACGCACGCAGGCAGCGACAAGGCCCTGACTCAGGTGGAGGCGTTCGACGTCATCTCTCTCAAGCTGTACGGCGCCTTCGCCTACCTGCTGTGGAAGTCCGTGTACATCACCAAGCAGGTGCATGGGGACGTGCACGTTTGCTATTGTCGCTGGCAAATCCCACGATCACGCACTAAGATGTAACTGTGCCGCATAGAGTGAACGTGAAGAGCTGTTGCCGTTGCCGCAGCAGCGGTTGTCCCCCCGTCAACTTATTGTTATACCCGCCCCCGTAACTTACGTACATTCATCTTATGGCGCGTGCGCAATGTCACCTGCTGGATGTCTTCAACGACATACCGGTATCAGGCCGCTTTCCTCAGTCCCTTCCTCCTCCACCTATTCACACCTCTATCTCCCCCGCCCGCCCCTACCCCGCCCATGCAGGTGTCCTTCCGCAACCGCGTGCTCATCCTGTTCGACTGGATGAAGACCCGCGTGTTCGGGCGCGACATCTCGCTGTTCTAGGAGGCGTGGAGGGTGACACAGCCACAGCAGCAGCAGCAGCACCAGCAGATGCCGGGTGCTGCGGTGACTGCTGGGACAGCGGTAGGTGGAGTGGTGTGCGGTGTACGACATCGGGGCAACATTGCCCTGTCTACAGCGGCCGCTATGCAACGAGCACTACATTGCGGGGCCTAGTATTGCACATATTAACGATGTGGCACGAAGGAAGCTACTTATTTCTTCTTTCTTATGCGGTGCGAGATAGATGAAAGCACCACGACCAACCTATCAAGTTATGCGCGGATGTTGCAGAGGGGGGAATGTTTAATGAAAGGGTGGTCAAGATGAGCGCCGCGCCAAGCGTCACCGATTACCGGTATGACTTGAAACATAACTTTGGTCGACTTGGTGAATAAGGTACCAATTGAGGGCGGAGAGGCATCACGTCGTGAAACACCACGGATCTTTGCACCTACTGTGTATACAAGTCAAAGAGCATGTCAAGGGTGTTGGTTTGGCGGCTGTGAGAGTTATTATAAGCGCTGGCACGGGAAGCGTGTTTACTGATGCCCGTGCTTGTTGTCTAAAATTTGAGACTTGCAACCTGGCTTGCGTACCAGAGAGTAGTTGATGAACTGGAGGGGCGTTCTCCTGCTGCGCACGCTCCCTTTGTTGTGCGGCTCATTCTTCTCATATACCGAGAGAGGCTACAATGCTGTATCGACCTCAGCAGTACGATACGGATTATCTGTGGCTGTTGGTTATATTTGCAGTTACAATCTGCACTTGTGTACAGTGTGTCGTACGAGCCAGGGGGGACAAGGACACTAAACGAAACGAGTATAAACTACTAGGCCTTGACTGTATTTTAGCGTTGATCTTGCCCCGAGGCAGGTGCCGGCAGCCTTGGCCTTCTTTCGTATTTTGTAGTGTATCGGCACGTTAATGTTGTCCGGCCCCGATGATGATTGGCAATTCTTCGGGTTGCCATAACGCCATAACGCCAGGCTGAAGGGAGCTGCCGTACGTGCATGTCCGGTGCCGCATGTTGTTGTGCCGTACAAATGCTGTACCTTTGCTGTGTTGAACCAAACCGCACGAGGTCCAGAATATAGGGTGATTCGGCTGTCAGCATTGCAGATGGCGGCCCAGGCCCGTAACGACCCGTGGGTCAGTCGTACCAGCTTTGCCTGAAGAATGCATATAGGGCAGCTTCCGTGGTGATCCAGCCTAACATAGTTGGAAAATCCGGACGTTGTCTCACCATGTGGTTGGGATCGCAGAAGGCCGACGTACATAGGTGTCCAATGTAAACCAGTTTTTTTAATGGCTCCCAACCGTAAAGGCATTAGTGGCCTGTTGGTACGAAGGAAGGGGGCTTCAGGGGAAGGCCTAAACGCCATTCATTGGCTTATATATATGCGCTCCTGGCGGTCATGCGGACGGTTGATGAGATGGGGTTTGTTACAGCCGTCGTGGGGAGGTCGTACACAAGGGAAACACAAACCACCAAGCCACCGGACGCTGTGTTCAAGATTTGATCTTTTCCTGACACTAGGGACCCCTCGGAGTACCCTACACCTACATATTACATTAAACAATACCACTAAGCTGAGTACTAGTAGATATGGTGTAACAACTAACGGTATAACTAGCCTTTCCACCATCAACGGCTACCGTACATACGTACTGTGCATTGACACGGATGCACAAACCCACCACATCACACAGCAATCCCCTTGAATTCTTCTATTAAATGACACGCATGTGGCATAACCCACCGCGAGAATACTTCATATGACATGTCCTAGCCACAGCAGGCCTCGACAGTAAAGCAGATCCTACGACAAACCCAACAACACCAGGTTCATGAGACAGGTGTACGATACAGCTATCGCGCAACAGATATCACCGGGCACAGCACACGATTAAGCAGACACTCGTATTCCTGCTTATTACCATGGACCATCGCTGAACTGTACAAATGAATCTTCCTTATGTATAAAACACCTTGACACAACGGACTCATACAGGTCTCCTCAACTTCTTCTACCTACGCAGCCAGCAGCAGCAGCCCCCGCCCGCCCCTTCCAACCCACGGCTACCCAGCTCGCAGCAGCTCTCCCTCCTCACTAGCTTCACAGCAGCTGCACCCAGGCTCCCTCGCTGTAGGTGTCCTCCCGGCCCAACAGGAACAGCAGGTAGTAGCCGGGAGGGGACAGCCCGGGCAGGTGTGCGGGCGGGCCCTGCAGCGTCACGCGCCGCTCACCGGGGGCGGAGCTGGCGGCGTCAGCGGACACCTGCACGGGGAGGAGGGGAACGAAGTGAGGGGGTGCGAGGGAGCGAGTGGGGGGATGCATGCAGGCGTGCGACGGGGCAATCCACCGTACCGTGGCCACATGCCTCTGTAGACTAGCACTCGCACCCATACCCCGGACACGCACACCTACACGCACCTGCAGGTGAATGACCCGGTTGTTCATTCCGATGGAGTGCGTGCGGGCGCAGGGCGACACCAGGGAGGCTCCTGTGATGGCGCCCGGGGCGTAGCGGTAGGACACCGTGAAGGGCCTGTTGGGGGAACACCGCGTGGCGGGGGTTTGGTTGGGGCTCGGCAATGGATGGGGCAGGTTGGGTGCCCGGACCTGTCCCATGCCAGCATGTGCCGGACTGCGATACGATGAAGAGTGGGCCCCAGCCGTCCAGCCACTCACTTGCCCCAGGCGATGCGGACGGGCGAGCTACTGATGACGGGCCTAGCCACGCCGGGTGCAATGAACCTGGGCGTGAGCAGCTGCAGCCGAGCCTCTTGGTAGCCCTTGAGCGGGTTTGGGGACATGGCGGCGGTCTGCGCGAGGGGGCGCATGCACGTACGAAATACAGGGGGAGGGGAAGGGGTTGCGGTTGGGGCAGGAGGCAAGCGGGGCAAACCCAACCAAGGCACTGCCGGACCCGGGTTTATGTGCCCTTCTATCTCCAGCACATATTTTCCCCTCCCCCTTTTCACCCTCCTGTCGCAGCCCTGCATGCTGCTACTCACCATGCCCGTCAGGTTGCCGCATGCGTCGCACGCGGTCACCAGCACCTCTCCCGTACGGTGCAGGCAGGCGGTGGAGTGGTACATGCGCGGGATGGGGTTGAAGGCCAGCCGGCTGTAACGCTTGCCGTGCGGCAGGGCGGGGTCGTACAGCAGGGCTGTGTTGGCGGGGTAGGTGGCGCCGGAGCCGCTCTTGTAGCTGCCCGTCACCCAGCCCGCACGACCGCGCTCAGCGCCGTTGGTGAGTACGATCTTGCCGTTGGGCAGCAGTACGGCATCTCCCATGATGCGCGGCACGCCAAGCATGTCCTCCTCAACCCAACTACGGAGGTTAGGGGTTGGGGCGGGGTGGGTGGGAGGCAGGAGCAGCGGAGCCTATCCTAACACACACACACCAACAAACAGCCGCAGTGGTGACACGGGCATGAGAGGCGTGTTACGTAGCTGGCAACTACAAGTGGATGTGTACTTGCATCCTACATGCCCCGTGCTCCGCTGGCCAGCATGGTACCTCATCAAACCCCTCGAAAACACATACGCGCTGCATGCCCTTGCTCACCCGTTGGTGCAGTACCCGCCGGCTGTTGAGTTGCAGGGTCGCAGGTCCAGGCGCATGGAGGAGGAGGTGGCTAGGGAGGTGGCGTTGGGGCTGTCGGGATTGTCCTCGCGCTGATGGGGTGGGGGGTTGCATGCGGGCGGAAAGGAAGGGGAAAGTGGGTGGGGAGATGGGGATGATGATGGTAAAGCAGCTGAGCGTACAAACAAGGCACCCAAGCGTGTGTGTCTGGCTGGACACTGCATGCATGCGGACAAGCTGCCTGCTCCGCCCCTCACTCCCCGCCCCCATTACTCACCCCTCCACCAAAGATGATCATCTTGGAGGCATATCCGTCCTCGGGGCCGTACGCCATTAGCACGATGGTGGAGGTGGCGGGGTACATGGTGTGGAAGCTGGATGGGGGCAGGCAGCAAGGAGGAGAGGAAGGGAATGTGGAGATGTAGGGGGGAGAGTGGGTCGCAAGTAAGACCAAGCAGCGCAGCCTGCTGCTAGTAAAGCGCCCACCAGCAAGAAAGCTCAGCGGGTGTGAACTAGATAGACGGGCGGGCACGAGACAAGTGTCCTCATCAGTTAGCTCCGTGCCATACACTCACGTGTAGTTGTCTGGCAGCGAGGGCAGGTCCATGAGCACCTGCTCCGTCTCGCCCTGCGTGATGCTGCCGCCCCGGTCGCCCCACCACAGCAGGTGGCCTGGAGGTGCGGCGCAGGAGCGGGGTGCCTTAGGTTTCAGCTGCAGGGGCCGTCATTAATAAACTTGTAGTAATAGCCTTACGCTTAGCCACAGGACTACCTAACGCACCCGATTGAACTACCGTAGTGCACCAGCGGAACTGCACCCTGGAACCGCAAACCCGCCGCATGCCCCCCACTCATTCCGTGCGTCTAACTACTGGTAACCCTCACTATTGTGCAGCGGAACTGCACGCTCGAACCGCAACCCCGCATGCCCCCCACCCATTCCGTCTCACCCTTGGGCAGCGTGTGTACGAACGGGTACCACTGCATGCCGGCATGCTTGACGAAGTTGGGCGGCATGGTGAAGAGCTGCGTGGGGGCGGTGGGGTTGGCCGGGTCGAACACCTCGCTGAAGGGCGGCACCAGGCCCGTGTTGGGCTTTGCGGTGCCGCCGATGATGACCACCTGGTGAGTGATGACCGGTGGCATGCATGGCAGCAGGGGCGGGAGGCGGGGTGGGTGGGAGTGTGAGAATGCGGGGGTTAGGTCACAAGGTCAGTCCATTTCAGTCAGGAGGGCATGGTCGGTACGCCACCAGACGTGTCGCCCCCCCCCCGATGACGTAATAAAAACCAACAATGGAGCTACGGTGCATGCATCCCATGGTTGCCGGCCCACACCACAGGCGTGCGCTACCTTGCCGCTGGGCAGTGACGCCACGGTGGGGTACCAGCGCTTCCACTTCATGGCGGGCAGCACCGAGAACTGCAGCGTGGTGCGGTTGAGGACCTGGGGAAGGAAAGGAAGGGAAAGGTTGGGGAAAAGGAAAAGGGAACGATAAGGCGGCATCTGGAAGAGTAGGCCGACGTATGTGGCCTGCTGTTCCCGCTGTGCCACGCACTGGGCCCTCTTCCTGAACAAACCCGTCAGGTCCCTCCAACCACACAACCACATGCATGTATGTACGCACACCTCGCCACACGCCAGGCCCTGCCACGTCACGCCAGCACACAAACAAACAATGGCCTTGTTAGTTGGACCCACCACCCCCCAACCCCTCCCCTCCTCCATCCCCACCTGCAGCCCGTCCCTGCCGTCCAGCAGGTTGGCCCCCTTCTCTCCGTAGTGGCCTCCAACCAGCAGCACGTCCCCGTCCGGCAGCAGCACGGGCGCGCCGCAGAAGGAGTTGACGATGGAGGGGCGAGGGGTGGCCTGGCGCAAGATGGCAGGCAATCGGCGGTTTATAGGGAGTTAATAGGTATTGAAGCGAAGGTGGGTTTATGGGGCATGCATTAAGTGGGATAATAGGAGGATGGCAGCAGCGTGCGTGTGTATACACTACGTAACGGTAACCTAGCGAACCCTGCCCTGTCCCTTGCTCCTCCGTCCGTGCACCTATCTACCTTGTTGGCCGCCAAATCAAGCAGCACGGTTGTGTTCTTGACCTTAGGTCCCCGGTTGATTTGCGCGCCCAGATAGGTGTCGGTCAGCGGCACCACCACCAGCAGCGCGGCGGTGACGGGCGAGGTGAAGGGAAGCGTGCGGAAGGTGGAAGGGGCGGTGGCGGGAGACACGGAGGGCTTGGAGGCGGCAGGAGAGGGAAGAGGCAACTTCTTCGGCGATGGCGGAGGCGAAGGCTTGATGGCGACTGGAGAGGGCTTAGGCGAGGGTTTGACAGCAGCCGGGGGTGAGACGGGGCGAGGCGTGGCGACAGGTGAGGGCAGGAGCGAGCGTGGCCGCGGGTACGGAGGCCGGGACAGGGGTGGGCGTGGGGAGGGCAGCGGAGCCACATGAGGGGGCTTCGGGGTTGTCTTCGTTGTCTTGGTCTTGGGCGGCGGCATTCGCTTCGGAGGGGGCTTGCGTGCTCGTGGAGGCGGCTTCGCCAACGCCTCCACCAGATGGGCGGAGGACAACAGGGCAAGAAGGGCAAAGCCCAAGATGAGGTGCATGGTGACTGCAGCGGCGCGGGCTGAGGGCCCGTGCGCTCTAACACTACTCCGGTTTCCAGAGGGGATCATCTTTCTGCTTGCTGCTTGGGCTGCTAGGGGTATCTCACACAATGAAACAGAATACGAAATGATGCTACAACTAGTCCGCTTGGCGGTAGTGTGAGATGCTCATTCCATGTCGTGTGTTTATATAATATATACCGTGCCTCTGCGGTGGAGGAGTACGAAGAGCGTAAGCGGGAGTAAACCCTTTGTAACATACACGGGATGGTGCTACTGCCTGACCCGCTTGGTGACTAATCGGGCAGTCGTACGGTTCGGGTACCTGCAGCATGAACCTCAGTGCCCGACATACGCGTGGAAAGTCATCAAGTGATGTGTCCAGCTTCTTGTTTACTGCTGGTGCTCACTTGCCAATCGGCAATCTGCAT